AATTCCACGCGTTCTAACGCCACGTGCTGTATTTTACATTCGGCAAGGTCCCGGCGTTACCGACCCTTGCTACAGCGTCATCGTGTCGATCTATGATAATCGTTTCGATAAAACTATGCGATCGAGCGTAATCTAGGTCGATTAAGGACGCGAAAGATTGATCTATTTTGAGTGGTTTCGCGATCTTAGGGAAAGGCAAAAGGGTGATCGTTTCGACGAAGGCAGTCGCTTTAACAGAAGTCCGTATTTGGCTCGTGCTCGCTTAGGTTCGCGCGTATGTGCAGCATGCAGTTGCCGCCTCGTTGCAACGGATCGTGCCATTCTGCATTCTTTTCATTGTATCGACCGGTAAAACGTTGTTCGAGTCTCTCATTATCTCGGTCAGTGCACACCGAGTAATACAGAGGTACATATCATTCGGGCTTGCCAGGAAGAGACGTACGACACGCGATTCCTCGACCTACCCTCGATTTTCCTACGATTTTTCCGTCTCTTCGATCGCTTATCGATTACCGGAGCACGATTTCGAGCTGTTGGCAACGGGACGCGTTTCTCGGATCACCGAGCTGGCATCTACACGTATCACGTGGCGTAACTCGACAGCAGAATCTAGAATGGAATTCGTTTTAAACGAGGCTGGGTACGCGAACGTTTTCCTTTCGAAGGAATTTTCTTTGCTCTATTTCGTGTTTAAGAAAGTAATGGAACTTTGACGGTTCCTGATGGTACGGAATCGTTACGGTGAAAGGACATTAACGTATCGGTATGCAGTTGAAGCCAAAGCGAGCGTAACATTCGATAAATTCAAAGTTTTCCCGATCTGTTTCTAGGTCACTTCGGTACTGTTGCGAGAATATTATCGATTATTTCTTATTATAACGGTATATTCCGTTATTAACTATTTCGCTTTAATATCTTGATGCTCGGCATTAAAGATCAAACAGAATCATTGGTATCTAAAGCTCCCACTTTGATCGACTACGCTGTTGTTTCACTCTTTCGCCACTCCACTGAGCCACTATGCTACACTTGCTGTTCCATTATTTCGCTATACTACCGTACAACTATACGATTTCGTATTAAACTACAAGTCTAATATAGGAAACATCTAACACGTTTAAATTGGTTTCTATTTAATTATGAAATTCAACGACTCTTCGAAACGTGCGACCATCAAAGCGTTTAAGATAAGCAAGCAATGCACGTAAAGTTAGACGGATGAGTCTGTCGTAATGTCGTTGAAAGATAAACGAGATAAGAATATGCTCGTTTATACCCATAATAGAAGAGAATATGAAAAACGAAATTAACTAAGGTTCCGAGGCGCGTTCTCGGCAGCGAAGGGTTAAAGTCTGTAGCTGAGAACAGTAGTGAACTCGTCGCGCAAAAGGCATTTACACCTGCAGAGATCTGCAAACGACTCGTTTATTCGTCGTCCTTGCCGCGTGTCGCAACGAACTCGTACACCGTCGTAGACAACCTACATTCGAACAAAGCCGTCCGCCTAACCAAAGAGGAAAGCCAACTCTCGGAGAGGATGGCCGACGAGTCGGGCCAGGAACACGGAAAAATTAACGAAGCGAATCTCCGCGAACGAATTTCCCTTTCGTCGTAAAGAAATTATGCGCGGTTGGGAAGCGGTCTGCTCGAGCCGACGGGTACCCGATAAAAACCGACGTAAGAAGCGGTCGACGCGCGATCACGAGCTGGGACACGGCTCAAAGATGGGCCTACCCGTCCGAGAACGAACGAGGAAACGCGCAAAAAGTCGGTTAATGCGCATAATAACGCGTCGATACGATGTTTCTCACCGTCGCAAGGACGTCGTTCGTATCATCGCTAAAAGCGTCCCGTAACCGGTTCCATCGCGTTATTCGATTGTTAATCGATTCGATAGAGTTCTCGATACCGCCAACGCGCACGGGCTTCCATCTCCGCGAAACTTGGATAATTTACCATCCATGGAGCAATTATTTCACGATCCCTGCCGTACTACGGCCTTATTAACAGAGTACGTACATGCTAAAGAAAACGTTGAATGAACATTACGTCACGGATCTCGATACTCGACACTCGTTACGCATTATGCCCAACCAACAATAAGCGCACAGGAGGATTCGTCGTTTTATATCGTCATGCCTGTTTATCAGCAACTCGAAGAATCGTTTACTCCCACAGGTTCGTCGATAGCGATATAACCAGTTGTATCTCTCGCAGCGAAAGTTGCACCGGAGGAAGTCGCAGAAAGATTCTCATGATTAATTAAACTTGTCAAGCTTACAATTTAGCATACCATGATGTGCCGTTTCACCGTTTCGCTTTCTCTGGCGTAACGAAACGGCACAACTCGAAAGAACATATGCTAGATAACCGAGCATAGGATCGATCGCGGATGAAAAACGGCGACGCTCGATCGGAAAAGTCGAAATTTATAGCACGCATCTCGTATGCAGGTATCCTTGGACGATTTTACAGCTGTTTTATGGCATCCGCGTGGCAGCCGGTATCTCGCGCACCTTACGACACTCGTACGTTTTACAGCTGGTGTGTTCCGCGAAACGGCAACGGGGATCGTTACGAAACCTTCGGTACAACGACCATAGATGTACGTAGACAGAAATCCGTGGCACGCGTGCTCGTGCCCACATCCAGCTCGTTACCATTTTCCACGGAGACTCGAACGACGACGTCGGAGAGCACCTATCGACGGATGTGGCCAGCCGATGTCCATTTGTCCGTTTAGTAAACTTACCAAACATTCTCTACTCCGATATCGCGAGATATCGTTTTAGGCATACATCGATTCTGTTAGCGAATTTCTTTTCGTCGCAAATTATTTCTCGGCCTTGTTTGCCAACTTTTCGTTCAAGGTTCTTGTCTCGTCGTACACGGATCTCATTGTTCTGCCCTGTATCACTCTGTCCCTCGAGATTGGTCGCGGCCAATTAAGTGATTTGCTGGATCGAATACGCTACCGTATTCGAAAGCAATTGCCCGAGAGAAAGTTCAGACAGCTGGAACGGTTCATCGTGTATTGTTTTTCTCTTCGGCCAAAGTAGAAGAACTCTGCCAACTTCGTGGCACATATATGTATAGAAAAAACTTGCTGGTTTAACGATTCGTAATTTTCGCTATTTAAAAATCGACGGTTTAAACGAGTAGAAAATGTTATTAGGACGACATTTGATAACGGTAGAGTGCGGTAATCTGCATTGTTCCATCAGCCATGCTTACTCGCCAATTTTTGCAGCAAAGCTCTGTAAATAATATCGGTGAGACGCCCACGCGAAACGAGAACTAGTCGGCCGCGTAACGAATCAATGTCGCGTAGCTCGGATACACCGGTGTAATTTGCGCGCTATCCTCTCCTCCTCTCTTCGAGCCTCCCCTCGTGTCTACGCCTACGCCGATCTCGATTCTCCACGGATCATATACGAGCCCTGTAACTTCCGGCGACGTACACGGGCAGGATCTTACGACGGAAAGACTTCGAAGCTGGACGACGATCGCCTAGAGCAGTTGTGATGCAATCGCGAGTACAGGAACATCGATCTTCTTTTTCCTTTTTATCTCGAACGTAGTTAAGGGAACGCGGCAATTTTCTCGAGGAATAAACCTTGAAGAAGAATTCGCGATGACGCGATAGTGACGCTATATGGATAGATTAGGCTAATGTTTCGCGGGAATATCCAATGAAGTAGCCTTTACGATAATTAGCGATTTGAAACGGCGCGGTAACACACAGTATTCCGGAGCGTAATCGTCTGTTGGTTGTTCTCTGTTGAAGTTTATGCCAAATATAAATCTGATCTAATTGGGAATCGTTGGGATTTCCTTCATCGGTTGCAGCAATTACGTTACTTTACTTATTTGAAATTTTATTCGACAATTCTCTCGAATTATTATCAGTTTCGATCTATCGATCGATAGTTATGATTTCATTCATGGCATCGCATTAATTACGTAAGGACGTATCGATCGTATCGTTGGTTGTATCTAATACGTTATCGAAAGAAGGTGCGTCATTAACTGTACCGCGTAGATAGTATCAGACTCGTTAACAATTTTTTCGGAGATTCTACTCGACGAGTAGTAGAAGTTTCGAAGAAACCTCGTCTCGCCAGCCCCGATTTTCGGCCCAGAATCTTCGAATACAAAAGTTTGATAGGCCAATGCGGAAATTGCTGGAACGGTAGCATCCTCGTTACTCGGCACAATGTTGCCGATATCGATCGGTCGAGTTTCTTTGAACTTGAGCCGTGTAAAAAAAGAAAGAAACGGAAGCATGCCGTATTAGCAAACTCTGGCTTATTGTGCGATTTTGGATCGATGCCCTACTAGCGAGCGAATTTTCCACGAATCCTAAAAGATATTCTCGCCTTTCTTAGCCCTTTCGTTGCATCCGTTCTACGCGGAATAGAATTAGCCATGGTTCAATTATGCGCGCGATAAATGCTTTCGTTAATCTCTTTACCGGTCGATCGCCGATTGTCACGCTGTTACGGGTTTCTCGTCGTGTTTCGCACGATTTTCACTCAGCGCCGGTTAACAATACTCGTGAAAAGGTATTGTTTAGCAGAGAGGTCATGCAGTTACCGTCTCTTGTAATTAAAGTGTCTAATTACGAACGTGCTTAGGAGCAAAAATGAGACGTAGATGGGCGTTGATTATTCGCAAGGTTATTTGCCGATTGCGAAGCTTTTCTTCCTTGAGCTTATAAACATTTTTCACTTTTCCAAAATTATCAACCATTTCAGAAAATGTACGTTTCGACGCGAATTTAATTTGGACATATACTTGTACAACTCGATCGATTTGCAACGGAAAAAGAACTCGAAGCAAAAAGCATCGACGGTGGTCCATTTTGGATTCCATTTTTGGGTTGGTCCGTCTTGTACGCGTTATATTTTCAAGCGAGTTACTTTAAGAATGGCAGCTTCATAGTTAAAAATTGAAAATGTCATCGCGATAACGATCAATTTGCTTTCGATTTGTTGCAGATCAAGCTGGAACGTGTGCTCGGCGTAACCGTGTCGAGCAATGCAGCCCTGGACTGCGATGCAACTAGCGAGCTGGTCGCGTATCCTGCTGGGTAAGTTCAACATCGGTCTCTTCATTTTTCTCCCCCGATTCCTTCTACTTATCTCGATCTTACCATTTTTCTCTCATTTGCATCTCTTTCACTTATTCTGATACGTTTGATTAACATCGTTAAATAGCATTTGATTTTAACTCTCGACGAGTTAACAAGTGACTATTCTCTGCGTTGCTAGAACGCCATCTAACTCAATGACCACTGTTGGTCCGTTAAACGATGTCTTCCGTCTTATTTACGTACTAAGGGTCGTTTTCGTCGGTTCGTACGGGCCTGTCGTCAACTCGTCCGAGCATCGAAATTATGGTATCGTCCGTGCAGTTATAAATCATCGTTCGATAATGATCGCTATAGATTGCAAAATGAAGGTAATTGGTAGGTTAACGAGAGGCAAAAACCGGGACAAAAGGGAGAGTCGAGCTCTCTCGTCGGTGCTGATCTTACGCCGTATCCTGAAAATTTTGTTGAAATTTATTCTTGTTCCGCTGAAACATCTATTCAGCGCAGATTTAACGAGCTATGGTGATTCAACGATTCGTTTTGACGGTAAATATGATTTACGAAGTCGGCATTTACAAAGAAGTTTTTCGAGTGTTCCGCTTGCGTCGATAATTACAGTCTGTTTTAACTACGAGGGAAAAGAAATTGTAAGTAAGAAGCCGAAGATAATCAAGGAAAGGAAGATGCATCGTTTGTACTTTGCAGAATTTCACGTTACGAGTTAAAACATCCTTGCTTTTCATCTCATTTTCCGGCGTTCACGTTTCACGCTCTGGATATTCTACGTTCATTATCAAATCCTACGTTTCAATTAAATTTTTCTTCTCTGTCGCTCAAAGCCAGCAAGCGAGCGTGCCACCCGTGCACGATCTCGTTTAAATACCGCTGTCTATGATATGTAGAAAATCGGAAATTTCTAACGAGAAGAAATCTTCGTACGTAACTCCTGAACCTTTTGAACACGGAGATTCGAGACAACCGTATTACGCGCAACAACGCGAACGAAAAAGAGAAAAGTAACGTACTTTCGAAATTCAATTTTCAATCGAAACCGTATGTTTTTACAGTGGTTTGCAACAGCGTCGAATCAAAACCGGTAACGATAATTGTTTCGGTTTTCCGATAGCTTTTTCCTCTATGAAATCGGTGAAATTTATCAAAGAAATCAAATAACTTCGGTAGGTGCAGTGAACGTAGAAAACATTCGTTCGCAAAGATTGCCTCGTCAGATCGTAATTTGTTAATTAATTTTAATGAAATTCCTTCTCACTGTACCGATCGGTACATTACTCCGAAGTAAATTAAATTGGAAAGTAAATCGAACGGATGAATAGTTCGCGAACGACACAGAGTGTTTACCAGCACCGATTCTTCTTTCACAGAACTTTTTTTTTACCTATTCGAGATCTCTTTGATATCGTAATTGGGATAGAAGAAACGAGCGAGTTGCAAAGGGGAAGAGAATTAACGAGACGAATCGTGTTACAAATCCACTGATCTTAAAGATATTCGTGGGAACGAGCGCAGGAAGAAACAGAAAGAGACTTTGCATAACGCGGCACACGGAAGCGCGGGATTGTCTCGATCGGCGATATCGAATCGCGATATTTCGTTCGAGATGCTCGACGTTCGCGAAACGTGATCGACTCGATTCCCGATGTTGACCTATTAGATTAATCGGGAAGTACTGTCACTCTTCGATGGTCGTTTCCGAATTTTTTAATTAAAAAATTTGATATTTCGGTATTTCTAAAATTACGAAATTTTTCGTTGGTCCTGAAGAAAAAAGTAACGTTATCGCGAAACACTTTGTCGGTAAAATTAAAACGGACCCGAATGAAAGGAGCCTAAATTACGGTCGAAACGTCCATCGAGCAAATCGGACGTTAAGCTATACGTCCCTAACATTCCCGATCCTTTATCGGAAAGATTGGATCGCGTAACGAGCATTTGTAACCAGACGTTTCTCTTGAATGGTCTACTCGGAGCGTCCAATAGAAGCTCATATTCGAAATGGCCACCTACTACAAACGATAGGATAAATTGAAACAGAACATCTCTTCGAAAGGCCGATACGCCGTTCAATATCTCTACCTCTCGTGTCATCGCGTGGCTTTCAACGAATAACTTTCTCGCACCGATGATGTTGGAAAACGGAGAAAGGTTCGATTTCATTTTCAATTTTCATCGTGATCGAAAACGCTATCGTCACAGATTCCGTTTTGCCGACTTTCCGAGACGACTAATCGTACGAAATCGTTACGATCGAACGATTAAATGAGCCGGTAAGCGGCTGCGAAGAATCGAGAGGCGACCATGAAAGAAAGTTCAGGTTCGTTAACGTGCATGGTGGAGAGAAAAAAAATGTACTCGCGCGATTCTGTCGGTCACGGATAAACGCGGATGGTATACAAGGAGGCTCGTTTCTTCTTCGACCGCGTGAATGGAAGAATGGCGAAAGTGCGATGGGGAGAGATTACTCTGCACCGAGAGAATCGAGCCGCGCTTCGTCCTTTTCTTACTCTCTATTTTAATTTCTACGCTAACTTTATTACCGTATTATCCACCGACATAGTACTACGACTCCCGTATCCGTAGCTTGCCGACTAATTAATAAGATATCTTTAATCACCGATCGAGTATCGATAATAGCGGTTCTAGTTTGTGCCTCCTAATTCAACGATATCGCGAAAGTTGAAGGAATTTGAAAAGCTCGCGTCGAGGAAAACCAAATCGTTTCGAGAAAAATAGTTGCAGCTTTCGGACACGGTTAAGAATAGTAAGAGTTTGTCGCGTAATCGATCAGATATTTTCGCACGCGCTACTTAAGCCGCTTAAATTGCCGACACGATCGAGCCGGACAACGGCGGCGCGGCACAGAGAACTCGAATGCAACGAACTATGGCACGATACTTGGACGGAAATCGGGTCAAGAGAGAGGTGAGCGGACCAAAAGATTCTGTGTCGGAGATCCGCCTTTTGCCCGATACGTATCGGCGACAATTAAATCGTTCGATCGACCTGGCAACCTCTGACGCGATCCTCTTGCGTCGGCAGACCATTTCTTTTTCTTGCCATCGCGCCACGTCGTGGGAAATGCGCCACGTTATCGTCACCGATCGGTATAGTTTGCCTTGGAAATATACCACGATCGCGAATTAAAGCGTCTACTGGAAATAATAGCAGAGACGCGGAGATCGTTTCGAGTCCAGAGATCCCTACAGATTTCGGAATTCCTCGGAAAATTTCTCGAAGAACTCGCGACACGTCGTTCTAAAGCTTCTATCGAAAGAACAGTTTATGGTAACTTTGAATTTTATATAAACTGAGAGAGAGAGAGAGAGAGAAAACAATGTCGCATTTGGCGAAAATGTACGTAAAAGATTGATCGTTGGCTGGCAAGGAAGTTTTCGACAGCGCGTATTACCGTGGTGGAGCGAGATTACGGTTTCCTCGGTCATGTAATGGCCGGTAATTGCAGGCAAACTGTAACGAGCTCGACGCGATACCTGAACCTCGGTGCACGCGCGTGGTTACGCGTGCATGAACAAAGCTTCCTCGGATCGAAAGTAGCTAGAAGTTGCGTGTCTGGTTTCCGTCGACGCGTCCGGTTATCGCCTCGGTTGTTCCTTCGACTTATCTTATGTCATCGCTCCTACGACAAACGTTTCTTCAAATTCTAACAGTCATCGATAATGCACCATCGAATAAACGACATTGCATTAATTTTGTTTAAATATAATACTGCAACGTTGTTCGCTACGATCGAAACAGACAGGTTAAACGAAGACGGTAATTAAATAAAAAAAGAGTCACAGTCGATCGCTAACAAACTGGCTGGCAACAGTTTACTTTGCGTAGCACGGTTTTCTCATTGACGTTGCAACGCGAATCACCGGTGCCACGAGCCGACTAATTGCAACTCGCCTAATTATCGTTCGTTCGTAACTTAGCACCCACGGTTCAACGGACTATAAGCCTCGACTCGGTCTCGCTTTATACGCGTATCATTATTCGACATCGCGCAAAAATAAAAAGACTTTATTTCGAAAAATACGAAAGCTTTAATGCCATGTTCACCGTTTACGATCTCCCGCAATCTGGTTAAAGTTAATGCTGTTCGAAGCTTTCGAGCGTGAGCCGTATTCAAGAAGAAAATACAACCGACGTTTTTTCAACCTCGTGCCAAAATTCGTTGGGAATTTGAACACTCGCTGATCACCGATCTATTCAGAATCGATCTATCGATCGATAGCACAGCTTATAACGTAAAAGTTTCGAACGGCGTTAAGGAGAAAGCCCGATCGACGCTTTTAATTAATTTGCCGCTTTTCGAATACACCGTATTCTTTCGCGCACAAATACACGCCGTAAATGAAACTTCTGTCAAGCATCTGACAGAATTTAGGAAATATAAGATTTGGGAGCGTAAGGCAAATTTGAACGGCATATATCGGAAGCGATACGATCGGTCAGGAATCGCGAAAGCCTTCGGGCGTTTCATTTCACGCTAATTACACGATGCTCTCTCGAGCGTTTTCCCATCCTCCCGGTGTGCTCCAAAGTCGAGATTGAACTTTTCTTCAAGGCCACGAATAGACATCCAGGTCAGCATTTTCCTCTTAACGCATCCACGAGCTTTGCGACCACGTCGCAAGTAATGCCAAGTAATTCCGAAATGTTTTCGTCTCTACGATTTAAGGACGGCTTTCGAACTCTTTGCAGCGAACACCGAAACGCGTCGAGGGAACTCGTGAGCAAGAAAATGAGAGTTCCTGCTTTCTTCCTATCCATACGTATTTTTTTCTCTCTGTTCTTTTCTACATACAATAGACGAGTAGAATGTTTGAACGATAAAGAGCTTTTCGAAACTGCGATTAGAATTGTAAGCCTGAGAAATGGAAATATCGCGATTCCATTACTAACGTTTTAATTAAATTGTACGCGGAAGTTGAAAGTAAGCGAGAAATATTTGTTCGTGTACCGAAGAAAAGGCAGAAAAGTCAGAGTATTAAGGGACACGTAGTAAAATCGTGTTCCGCACGATTAATCGGTCGATCCGTTTTTATCGGTCAGCTGATCGGTGCGTCTTCAGAAATCGATCGTTCTAAATCGGTAGAGTTCCATCGCGCAACTTATTAGACACACCGTCTCGTCGACCGGTTTCCATGCTCGATAATCGACCCAGTGACCTTTATACCGACGACCTTAGCTGCTCCTCTGCACGCAACTCGTGGCTAGAAATTACCAGACACGGCTTCCTGGTGCATTGCTCGAGACTTTCTTGCGAAGCTTTTGCCGTGACATTAAGGTTTTGCGTTAACGGTATCCTCCAGTCGCCAAACACACAACCTGGATTATCGTATAGCGACGGGTCAGCGATCGCTTCGAAGATTACCATAAATTAAAGATTCTCGATAACTTCGAAATAGTCGAAGCTCTCTCTGTCCTTAGCCATAAGCTGTCCTTTATTGCCTTCGTAAAATTACCTGGCACTAGAATCTAAAATTAGAATTGCACTTATTATCATATAGACGAGCGTAGTTGCTCGAAATTTTCTCGACATTCGAAACGGTTAAATCTCTTAATCGCTCTCTTCCTTCGGCCAAGGGTCAAGTCAAATTCACGGATCGGACAAAGAAAGGGGAGATGAAGTACGACGAGGGTAAAAAAAGGGGATGTCGAGGGTCGATTGTGAACAGGACTTAAGCCTTTTTCCGCATAGAACGCAGAAGGCTCTCTCGCTAGGCGAGAGGAGCGAGGCCGTGTGAAGGAGGCACACTCGCTTTACCTTAGACCTACTGAAACTAGCACACACGTTGCCCATCAAGCTACCCGACACAACAAATGCATGTGCTCGAGTACCGAAGCTCTCGGTTAGATACTCGGATTTAGACGCGTCGATACCGGTGAATCGAGGTTTCTGCGACTCTCGTTTTATTCTCGGTTTTCGTAGCACGATCGGATCGCGATACGAATAAATCACTCGATGCATCGCGCACAATTTGGTGGTAATGCCGTCGAACATCGATCAAAGTTGCCTTCTTTTTAGATCGTTATACATCCGCTGACTCGATCGCCGCCAAGATTGCTTCGCTAAAAAGACATGTCATTTTCTCGTTCGTAGCTTATAACTGTTCACCGCGTTGCAAAAAGTCGAGATCAATCGTTGGCTCGTCGTCGGTCCGCTTTCGACAGGAAGCGTCAGATGCCGAAGAAGCAGCCATCGAACGGACGCGAACAGAGTTTATTGACACGACTTGCTCGACCGTGCAAACACGGTCAAACTGCGACGACGCGTGTTACGATTATGGTACCGAACGATGTAAAATCGCGCAAAAGAACGACGGTCCATACCGTTCCGTAATAAAATTATAAGTTACCGCGAATTATTCTACGAATTGGCCATTTCTTGTCCTATTTGGTTGTTCGACAAAACACGAAATTGGAATATTCGCCTCGCGGAACATCCCCCGTCGTCGTTAGACGCAGCTTCGGTTTACTCGGCGTGGACTACTTTCCCGTGGGAACGCGCGTTCCAGTACGCTTAGAACCGCGTTCGAATCGCATCTCGGTACAAAACGAGTCCGAAAGGAACGCGTGGAAACTGTACATCGTAGAGAAATCGTTCACCGTGTTGTTCCAACTTTTCCCATCTTTCTCCTTCGAACTCACGACGAGAACCGAGAAAAGGAAGCTGCGGACTCGACGTACTATCACCGGACAAGCTTCGAAATCAACGTACATACTTGCCAACACGTTTTCGATTCTTCGACACTGATAGCGTGTGTTGTATCATTATCGCGCGATAATGTTAGACGCCCGTCGATGCAGACATTAACGATACGTTCCTGGTCGGTGTAATACCGTTTGAAATCCTATCGACTCGAGATTTCCTGATCTTCCGACGGAAGAATCGTGCGTGTAATTTTTTGATTCTCGGTGAAAGTGATCGCTAAGATCGATGAAAAACAGTTAGATCGTTGGTAAGGTTCAGCGTGAGGTTCGATTGTGGCCAGATTACGTTACTCGGGTGTTTTGCTAACGTAATATCGCGACAAATGGTAGCACGCAGAAGAAACGCCACTGGTTGGGATCGAGTTTATTGACACGTTGCGGTTTAGTTAGGCTGACGAATGAATCGACGCGGTGGACGCACGAGTCGCGTTTCATATTACCGCGAACACCGCGTGCCTCCGTTCTTTCGCGTTTACACGCCGGCTGCTCATCGATCTGTATTACGTGATTGATCTTTGACCAAGCCTCTAACTGCTTGGAAACGCGTCCAATTATTAACGCTTTCGGAATCGCCTTTCAAACAAATGTATACCGCTGCGAACGAAGATAGACGTTTGCAACCGAGTCGGAACGATTCATTTACGATTTTAAGCTTTCGATTTAATAACTCTAAATAAGTAAAAAAGAAACTGTTCGTTTTGGCACGTGTTACGTAGAATTTGGAAGCGCTTCGTGCCCGGCAATTAGCAGTGTCGCTTTCACCTGCAACCGGCAGATCGAAGATTAACTTATCGTTTCCTTCAAAGAAACTCCAATTTCTTATGTCACGGTGTTCGCCTTTACGACCTGTAATTAATGTCCACTTGGTGAACCGCTCGAGTTCTTCTCCTTCGTAATTGCTATTACGGATAAATGGGAAGCGGTAGCCGCTATCCGCGTATTTTATTTTCCCGGTTAACAACTGTAATTGAAACGGTATTTTACGGTATTTCCAATGTTACGGGATTAAAAGTTCATAATAATTATCTCGGCCAGATATCGACCAGATACGTTTATCTATTTATCACGGGCGGAGTTTCTAGCGTTATCGTGTATAGTAAAAAATGAAATGCCTATCGCAGCGAATTAATAGGAAAATTATCTCGTGTTACAGATGCACCGTGGTGCTGTTCAACCCTCGGAAGAACACTCAGGCCCACGTGTTGAACGCTTGTCGTAAAACCGTGACATCTTTAGCGCTCGCTGGCGATGGCAGGTTTTTGGCGACCGGCGAATGCGGTCACATGCCGAATGTTCGTGTCTGGGACATCTCCGATCCGTACAATGCGGTGCAGATCGCTGAATTTTCCGGACACAAATACGGCATTAACTGTGTGGTAAGTACAAGATAGTTCTTTTTTCTTCTTATCAAAATTTCGTTCTTTCCTAACTCCTCTTTCCCAGGACACGAATTCGCTTACGATTCCGAGGATTCGATTTCGATTGCTCGCAGTTTGTTTGCGCGTTAAGCGATAACGACGATCTTTTGTTAACGAAGAAAGCCGAACGTACGCGTTACTTTACATTGTACAATTCGAGCGCAACTTTTTTTCAAACATCGTACATAAGCGTTCATTGTCGTTAACTGACTCCGAGCGAAATTACTTTCCGGGAAAAAGTCAGAACCTTTTCAACGCCGAGCAGGCAACGAGAGAGGCCGCGTTGAATGCATAGAATGAAAAAGGGGAGCCGCGCCCAATACGCTCGCACGACCTTACACCGTCTCGCATGTTAATTAAGACCCGCTGTTTTTATCTGTACGACACTTCTACGAAGACGCCGCGTCAAGGTGCTTCCGTGACCGTGAAATTTCTTCTCCGAGAACAACTATTTCTATACAGGAATAATTCTTTTAACCCTTTGTATAATAAAAGCGATCGCAGTCGCTCGCCTTTGAGTAGGATTCACCGTGCGTACCAAACGCGTTAACTCGGTACTCGTTATCTGTTGCGCATGAAAACGCACCGAATAAATAAGAACGATCTTCGAATAAATGTTAGACGAAACAACTTTTCCGGTATGTCGGAAAATTATTCTTCTACCGTCGTTTCCTTTCGTACCTAGGCTTTCTGTAGATAAGAGAAAATATAGAGGAAGAAGCTCGTCTTATTATGCAAGGGCAGATGGTTGTAGATTAAATATGTTGTTAGACGAAGTAGAGAACAAACGAAAAATTAACGTTACTGGTAGCGTTCTGTTTTTTCATTTAAAACGTAATGGAAACAATTTTCCTGGGACTTTGGAGCGATAATGAAAGTGAAGAAACAGAAAAGCGTCGCGTCGCGTCTCTGCGAAGAATTAACTCGTCGCATTCGCGCCACGTGCATCCAGGTACGTGCAGCTTGGTTGCACGAGGTGTCTCGACGGCGTAGGCAAACTACGTGAATACGAAATCCTCGTCCGTTCTCAGCGAACGGACAACGGTACTTTTTTTTATTGTTCTTCTGCATTCCCTCGATACCTCTGGTACGATGATCCCTCTTCGAAACTTTACCCATCTACAACACTCTCTGCATCTGAAATATTCTCCGTCGACTTTATCGTTAAACGAAATATACCAATTATTTCTTAGGCAACAGGTTAACCGTAAAATAGATTCGTAATGTTCCATAATTCGATAATAAGATTTGTAATGGATGAAAGGTGGATGGTTTCGAACACATAATTACAAAGCCGTTCGAATCGAAGACAACGCGACTTCTACGGAACTTCTGATCGCCAACATCGTTCCTCTTAAATCCCAAAATGGGTTCAAAGTTTGAATCCATGTAAGTGGTCGTACTCCGTGTAACGACGAGGATTTAATGGATGTTTCTTTTAAGGCATTTTCACCGAGCAACAAGTACGTGGTGTCCGTGGGCTCTCAGCACGATATGATCGTCAACGTGTGGGACTGGAGGAACAACGTTAAGGTGGCGTCGAACAAAGTGTCGAGTAAAGTGAAGGCCGTCTGCTTTGCGGAAAACGGCAATTACTTTGTCACCGTGGGCAACAGACACGTGAAGTTTTGGTATCTCGAGTATTCGCGCAGTGCCAAGGTAATTGAATGTTAATTTCACGCTAACTTTTCGATTATAACTCTCGACGGTAACTACTACAGACGATTCTCTTATTCTTAATGTGAACATTTCGGGATTCGTGAATCCCCAAAGTGTCCGGACATTTATCGAGTAGTGCGCGTAAAGGTGACCGGTGACGATTACGAGAAAAACGTAGAGTGACGGGGTGAGAGGCAGGTAACGGTTCGGCAAAGATGGTGATAGTAGGAATTTTGTTGCACAGTATAAGGAACCTGTGCCTTTGATGGGTCGGTCCGCCATATTAGGAGAGCAAAGAAACAACGATTTCGTGGACGTAGCCTGCGGCCGAGGGGAAATGGCAGACTCCACGTACGCGATCACCAAAACAGGCCTTCTATGCGAATTTAATAACAGGAGGTTGCTGGATAAATGGGTGGAGCTTCGTGTAAGTACTGTTGCCTGCAATAGACTTTCTCGAATACTGTGTTTAAGGCTATTACGCGACCCCATACCACTTAACGAACCTTCGCGATATTATCGCGCAGGAATTTATTTTAACGCTTTCCCATCGAAGCATTAGATCGCCGAATGCGAATTAAATCGGCTACTTACACGGCTTTTAATAGCTATAAACTTATAAAAAATTAATCAACCATTTTGTCTTCGGAGCATCAAAGAAAGGTTTTCGCAGTCGTTTTCATCAGACTTTCAGCATTGAATTGATGCGGAATAAGTGGCATTTGGCAAGATTTTTATGTCGTCAAATCGTGACATAATATTTCGAAATTCTTCGTTTGATTATGCAACAACCTAATGCAATGTTTCTCGTCGCGGTATATGAATGTTGGATTGGTATTGATTTCACGATGTTGCCTGTTTCCAGACAAGCAGTGCCAATTGCATGGCCGTCGGGGACAAGTACATCTTCATCGGCTGCGCGGAGGGAATCGTCAGGTGTTTTAGTCCTAGTACGCTTCAATTCATCACCACGTTACCGAGAACGCATTACCTAGGTGTCGATGTTGCTCAGGGATTGTCCATTAGGTAAGCGAACGTGCCAGTAACGATTTCTTCGACTATTTTCCTCCACTCGTCAAGCTGAATTAACTCTGAATTAAATTTGCATTCGATATTCGGTATAACTGTCACATTTCTAGACATCTTTCTAAACAATGCAGCTTTATTTTTTCTGTCCGTTCTGAAGATCATCTGTAGATCGTTAAACGTTTGATGACACCCGTGCAGAAATTAAATGAAATTTCATTTTGTCTTAAATCCGATGCTATTCGAATCTTTCGAATTTTCCACAATTACTCTACCGTTCCTGAGATTCGAAGTTAGCCACACGGTAATTTGAATTACCCGTTGATACTTCCGAGAGTATCTTCGCGGACGCAGTTACTCGCGTCGGTGATACGATCCTTCGAAATTTAATCCTTCGTTGTCGGTTGCAGTCACATGTCTCAACATCCAGCGAATGCGAGGTATCCGGACGCGATCGCGCTAGCGTTCGACGAACAGAACAACAAGTTGACCTGCGTGTACAATGACCACAGTATCTACGTGTGGGACGTCCGGGACATCAGACGGGTCGGAAAATCCCATTCGTTCCTCTACCACTCCGCGTGCATATGGGGCGTGGAAATGTATCCTACGGGATCGGAATCCGTGAACGCGATGCCAGCCGGAAGCTTCATCACCTGCTCCAGCGACGATACCATTCGGGTGTGGAATCTCGAGAAGGAGGTGTCCTCGAACGACACGCTGTACAAGCGGAACATTTACAGCAACGAGTTGCTCAAAGTGTTGTACATAGATCCAGAGTTGACTTACCTGAAGGATTTGGACTTGGCCGCAGCGGGTTCCACGGAGAAGAGCGACGCTTCGTACGACGGTCGAAACGGGGTTAGATCGATCAGGGTCAGCCCAGACGGCAAACATCTAGCTTCCGGAGATCGATCGGGAAACATTCGAATTCACGATCTATCCTCCTTGGAAGAATTGTGCCTGATCGAGGCCCACGACGCCGAAGTGCTCTGTCTGGAGTACTCGAAGTTCTCCAAGTTTTCGGCGGAGACGCACAGATTGCTGGCCAGCGCTTCCAGGGATCGGCTAATCCACGTGTTCAGCGTCGATCAAGGGTACAACTTCTTGCAGACCCTCGACGATCATAGTTCTTCCATTACTGCCGTCAGATTTTTCAATCAGAGCAATCAAAGTAACCAAATTCAAATGGTGTCCTGCGGTGCCGACAAGAGTATTATTTTTAGACAACTACAATCGGTACGTCGGGTTTGTCGCTACTTATTTTAAAGCGGAGACACATTGTTATCGTTGCTGTAAAAGATGTAGCGTAGGAGTACTCGTAACGTACAAGCATGTTTGACTTTTATACCGTACGTTCATCTCGAGGTGATACCAGAACAGTGCTTCCCTTTTTGTGTCCATTTCCCTCGGATAGATTGCGGTCTGGACGTCGAACCGCAAACGAAGTATAAAATAGAGGCTATCCTTCCAGACCGCAACCTATATGAAAGGAGTAAACACGAAGAAAGAGAAGTCTAGAGTAACCTTGGACATCTCTGCGCTAGATCGAGAACAGGAAGTCACAGTCGTTACAAGTACTCACCTAGTGGCATATCTCCGCCTCGATAAAATCGTTTTCGTCGTTTTTCTTTGCACATGATCGTGTTTCCCTCGTTTCAGACACCTGGAGGGATGCCTCAGTTCGCTAGGGGTCACAACGCTCAGGGAAAGACCACTTTGTACGACATGGAGGTCGATTCCGGGCAGAAGCATGTTTTAACTGCCTGCCAAGATAGAAACATAAGGGTTTACAACGTAGCCACGGGCAAACATAGCAAAACGTTCAAAGGATCCGTCGGCGAGGATGGGTCTCTCATTAAAGTTGTTTTAGGTAAGACATACGATGTAAGAACGATACTAATTGCGAATTTTCAACGACGATATACACGATAGTTAATGTACTTCCAATTCGATATTTTATGCCGCAGACGCGTCAGGAATCTACGTAGCTACCTCGTGTACAGATAAAACGCTGTGCGTGTACGATTACTATAGCGGTGAATGTATGGCAACTATGCTCGGTCACTCGGAGTTGGTGACAGGCCTGCGTTTTAGTCCCGACTGTCGCAACCTCGTATCCGCCAGCGGAGATGGTTGTATATTCGTTTGGCGTGTTCCACGCGACATGGTTGTAACTATGCAGGCGCGTCTTGCTCAGCAAGCGATGCGAGCTGGAAAGTAAGATCAACTTAATTATGCTACTCGTAACATTCGTACCACGACCCTTTGCGTTACAATCACTTTTCTTCTTTAACTTCGAACGATGTAATTTTACTCTTCTATTATTTATTATATGTATCTCGTCTTAAGTACAATGATTATCATCCCCATTTTGAGAATCTTTAAAGAGCAGAGCGTATATTATAATCTACATGATACTGTAAAATACTTGTAGGAGGCCGCCTCAAGTGAACGGCACAGGAATCGAGATACAATTGGACAACGAAACGTTTGGATCGCCACCGCCAGAGTTCCTGGATCCAAACGCGAATCCAACGTCGCAGAACGTAGGCGTGGATTACAGGTTTAGCGTGGGCCAGTTACCGCTTTGGGCCAAGAAGCAGATAAATACGAACGCGGACGAAAGTGGGACTCTCGGTTCGAACGTTAGACCTCTAGGTGTTGACTTACCGAAGGGACGATGGGCACAAAGGGTTCAACAAGGAGACGGTATAACGGTAAAGTCCGTCTACGACAGCGACGAAGTTATACCTTTCCCTCCGCCTCGTGGGGCGATAGATTCGGATGGCGGTGGTGGAGGCGGTGGTTCGAAAGACAGCTCCATCGACAGCGGTACCGAAACCAAATGCAGCAGCGATTATCGTAGGGAAACGATGATTATTAAAAGGGTAAGCTTCTGTTTTCAACGATTTCTATCGCGAAACCCTGCAATAACTCGGATCATCGTAATTCTAATAAATTAATCTATTAATATATATCATTTTCTTTAATCTTTAAACAGCGGAGCTAGGTGATTCGTAAATTCTGAAAAAACCTTTTTCCGATTCAACAGCAATAAAATATATTTTCAGCGCTAAATTGACATTTTCCTAATTTCGGTATAATGAAAATTTATGGTTTGTCCGTGCAGGAGATGGGCAATTAAGCCTTTTAAAAATTCTCTGACGGTTCGAGTAATTCGGTGCTTGCTACCCACTAGAGTCTTCAATAACCAACGCAATGAATTTAATTTGATAAAACGGTGAAAAAGCTATAAGCTAAAAATATCTCCTTTTTATATTGAATTTATTGGCGAACGTCGGGCTCCGCTGTCTCGTCTAATTGTTCACGCAAATGAACACTAACAGCGTTCATAAAACTGGTTCTAGGAAGAGGATGAGACTGTATTTCAACCTTGTCCAGATAGTTACAGAGAACTAGCAGAAGACACAAAACAGGTACTAACTGATTCCCAGTAACAACATTTAATCATTACATGGTAATCAAATTGTGAACCAGAGGTAACGGCAAAACTGAGTTCGATCGCATCTTCGTGTTTGTCCTTTATTGTTCGATCAGCTTTTCATATGGTTCCTTTTTCGATCCTTTCTTTCTCTTGCACGGAATGATTCGTCCGCGATTTGTTTTGTTTTGATTCTGTATTTTATTTTAACCGACGACGTAGGTAATCGGTGGTAACGTGACCGTAACTAGAGGTAGCAATATCACGGAATTGACACGTCAGTCGAGGAGTCGTCATCATACCGACGATAGCAGTCTTGGCAGCTTTAAATTTGAGGTACATCTCATTGAACGCCTCAAACACCTGCAGCAAATCATCGTCATGCAACAGACTTGCACAGCAAGTAGTTTAATGGGCTGCAGAACTCTCCGCTGTCCTTGGACAAAGTGAGGGGGTAACAATAGCGAGTTGAAGCTCCAAACAGTAACGTAGCTAGTACCTTTGGAGCACAGGTTACGTCGTTAAAATATTAATATCATTAACGTAATTAGATGAGGCTCAGGATTAATCTCTTGCCTCTCTCACCTTTTCGTAATTTGAACATTTAAAAATTTGTAAATACGTTGTATCTATTGATATTCTCGTATCTCCATTTTTCTCAAAGGAACATATATTATTCAATCTACACAACAATCATAGTTATGCTTATGACTGTTATATTAAAGTGTATCAGCGCTAGCGCATTACAGCGATAGGACATAATTTATGCTAAAGTAACTATTCTTTGTTGGTAGTATCAAATAGAAATGTCTTCTATCAAAATACTAGCAATTATATTAATTTTTGCGCTAATGTACTTTAAAAGTAAATGACCATCCTTCGCTTTCGTTTCTTTTCTGTTTTGGCAGGGTTCATCGTGATTTAGTGAATAGTGTAATCGCCCATTGAAACAACTTGCTGAGCAAGCTTGTCGTACAGTAATTCAGTCAAATAAGTCACCTATTAATTATTGCATTTGTTTCAATTAGCTTTTCAGTTGTTTATGTTCACTGCTTACGATTGTTGCCCACATATCTAACCCTATGGCGCATAAAGTTGTACTTTAAATTCACGCTTCAACAATTAATAACAATAATGTTAGAGAGAACAAAAGGCATTCTTTTTCGTTTTTTGTTTTAATGTACGTGTGTTATAGGATCATGAGAGCACAGAACACGACGGGGATGTCGAGGATTACTCGGAAGGAGAGAATGGAACGACTGGTTCAGAAAAATCACATCATAGATTGATGTATTATCCTGCGCCAGAGGACACGGTGTCCAATCAGTTCACTGTAAACGCGATGGACGTGGAAGAGCTTCGAAGGTTAGTCTGTAGGTTAACATTTGCATAGAACAAAATATTCAGCGTGATAGTACCGCTGTGTGTTAATGTTTTTGAGGTACAAAGTCAACTTAAGGTTTCTTTAAAACGATCAAGAGTAAGTTATTAGGACCGATACAAGCTCTTTTAACCATTGATTCGTCGCTTCGCGTAGATCTCAGAGGCGACAGAAGAAACCCAGGAACGGAGAAAGTGGTCGAACGAGTGAGATGACCGCTTCTGGCAGTCAGGAGGACTCTGACTCTGAAGGAGGAGCATCGACTCCGAGCGCAGAACGAAATCCTTTATCCATGCTGTCGGAAGCTAGTTCGGAAGGATTCGATCAACTCGCTAAACAGAGCCATCGCGAAAAGTATCTCAAGAACGCTTTCGAATCTCTGAGCGGTGCCGAAGAACCTACGAATAGGAACGCGAAAACAACTAGTATCAGTTCTCAATTTCACGGAAGGTAGTTATTCGTCGTTTTATATGCTTTCAAATAAACAGTTTTGTTACACGGAGTAAGTTGAATGGACGTTTATAGACTTAGCGGTGGTGGTGACAATGCAGCTAATAATAAAGTTCGCAACGCGGCTGTGGTGAACGCGACGAAACAAGCAAGAGGCGATGCGGATGTCGTGAAGAAGCGCGAAGAGTTGCAAAGGCGAATAGAAGAAACTAGGAGGAAATTGCAAAGCGTAAGAAGCCTGTTACCTGCTTCATATTAATATTGTTGAATTCAAAACACCTCGAAATAAGTGTACAGAATTAGAAACGTAAATTCTTCATGGTAGAAGAGATTTGAAAACTTTTAGATGCGCCCATTATATATTTGGAAAATCATAAAGTAATTTTGTCTCTTCTGCCGTGAAGAATTGCGATTTTCGCAGTACGTTTTTCTAAAACGTTTTGTATAAAGACGTCAAGATTCGACTTTTCATTTCATAATAGGTTGGCTACAAATCTTTGTTGAAATCCAGTCAAAGTATATCGGACTTGAGCAGTCACATACCCGAGAAACACCATCGTTCCAACCGTCTGAGCACAGGTAACAAACCCGGTCAACAAACACACTACTCGAAACCGATTAATCCTTGCAAACCCATACCAAATCCAAAGCCCTCACTAAAACCTCAGCAACTCGTTAACAAAGTTTCGGGTGTGGGGAATGCGCTGTCCAAGCTAGATGTTCCAACTGAGAACTGCTTGTCCAAAAGTCCGACCACCTCGTGTATAAGCGACAAGACAAAGTCTCTAAATCGTCCGTTAACATTGACTCTAAAAAAAACTGAAAAGTATAAGCTGTCGCTGAACAAACCGAATCAATCGTTGCCCGAGTCGCCCGTATGCGAGGAGCTTAAGCTCCTTAAAGAACAGTGCAAGAAGAACGTGAGTCGATTCGCCAGGTTCGCTCAGAAAAGAAGATCGTGTAGCTATTTCATCGGGTTGAATGACAACGAAGAAGACATGGAGAACATAGCCAAATCTTTCGAAAGTTTGCCAGCGATGAACGAGCGTAACATCGAAAACTTGAACGATGCCATGGACGACGGAGACGAGGGGAATGGAAACTTTAGCGACGACTCTTTGGAAGGTGACTTCAAGAACCCTCCCCGACGATGCGTCAGTGATTACCAGATAAATGTACACATCGACCGCCGATCTGAAAACCATCGAATTAATTCGTCCACGTATCAAACATTCCCGAAACGAATATTAACTGGCTCTCAAGAGAGTATATTATCAGATGCGTCTGTGGAGTCGTTCTCGAAAGGAAGCGCCGAAATCCTGGATTACAGTCACTATGATAATGACAGGCATTCCAGCGCGAGCTTCTTCTTGTCCCGTCGAAAGATGCAAGCCGGACGGAGCCAGGAGAGCATACTGACGGACGAGTCCGATTACCAGATGTTCCCGTTGCATGAGAACATGGACCATCGAAGTACGGAAAGTGTATTAACCGACGACTCCGATTCTTTAGTAAAATCCGCGCCACTCGAGATGTTGTTCGACTCTCATTACAAAAGAAAGAGACAGAACTCTGAAACTTACAGTGGCAATCCTAACAACGTCATAGAAGCATCGAACAATGTACAGAATTCTACGAACGATTCGACGTCCTGTAGAGCAGTGTTCAGATCCAAGTCCCTCCAAGATACGAGGATAAGCAAAGTGAGGAACGAGAATAGTTATACGGAGGATGATAACGTGCGACCAACGACCTGCATCTACTACGAATTCAATTTTAATGATCAGAACGACGGAAACGTTGAGATGAGAATCGGAAGCAAGTCAGACACTATATCGCGGAGCAATAGTCTGAAGGTGACCAAAGAGCCGCAGTCGATGTTGATCTTGAACGACTTTGTTGCTCACAAACCTCCAAAACCGAAGCGAAATTCTGTGCGGACGCAAAGTATGCGCAACAGAGCTCGCCCAGCCTGGAATAAATTCACCGTTGATTCTTCTCTCGTAAAGTCCGACTGCGACGATCCCGTGAACAAATCGGAGGCTCGAACGCCAAACGTGGACGCGAAATTGCAGGGAACGGAATCACTGCACGGTTCGAAAAGAATCGAACAGTTATTGCAATCATCAGGGTACTCTTTGCAATCCAACGAAGACAAAGACACTACGGCAACCAAGTTTTACAGTTTGCAAAATCGTCGTTCCTCGGATAAGGTTGACGTGTACGAAACTACCAGGCCAATGGAGAGTTTCACTTACGATCAGAACGATTCCTCTCGTCAGACTTGCTGCTTCGAGACGCAAATTCCCACGAAGGACACGCAAGAAACTTACGACTCTTTAGAACCTGGAGGTACCTCCTGCGAACTACAAAATACTTCCTCAAATCTATTATCCACGAACGAGCGAATCGACAACCTGGATGCTAGCGTCGATCTTAGAATCACCAGAGCCATCGAAGGAACTGTTAAACTGTTGTCGAAAGAGTTCGAAAACTTGGTCAGAAGGGAACAATACTTTATGAAAGAGAAATGTCTGCGCATGACTCAAGAACCGAATGAAAATTTCGCGAAGCTCGAAGCCGAGAGGGATGGTAGATATTGTTCGATGAAACGGGATATAAGATTATTCTCCGGTGGCGAAGATAGCGATTTCGCGGACACGTCAGCAATCGACAAATCGATGATGGAGAGCGGTTCCTCGACGTCCGCTTCGAGCTGTACTAACTCGCCAAAGAGGATGTGGCCACCAGCCTCGCGTTGTCAGAGTCACATGAGATGGACTAAGACTTTGCCTACCATTAATCAGGCTATACTACCATCCAAGCATCTCTACGCAGGTACTTACGGAATGAAGGAAGAAGTGTCGTTCAGATCAGTGATGGGTCTGATCTACCCATCACTGGTCCAGATCTTGCCTTCTGTTCGTTATGTAGTGGATGTTAACGAAGTATATATGGTGTTTTTCGCTGCTCGATAATTGATCTCGAATTTATAATAAACGTTTGTTATAAAGAACATTCTCAGACAGAAGAGAAGGTCCTGCACGAATAAAGGAATGTCTCAGTCTAAATTTGAAAACACGTGTACGACACTCGTAGCAAGCACGACTACAAACATTTAACTCCTCAGCTATGATTTTAACTATATATTTGATTTAAACATATAATATTTGCCCTATTAGTTCGTCTTGTTAATGCAAGACAAAGAAAGAAAAACACTATAATAGCTGAAGAGTTAACTTCCTCCGTTCATGTTTTTCTTCGTACTTTATATGTGATTGTTTCATTCTGTACAGTTATTAGTAAATTATTATTGTATATTATCATTCGCCCAAGATATTATTAATTAGTTATTTTATTTCAAGACGGCAGCAACTATGTACTTTTCAGTTTTAGACAAATTTCTTTTAATTTTTGTTCAGCATGACACGCGATCGACAGCATGTTTTATCCTTATCATATATCCTGCTTCCTCATTCTATTATTAAACATTTAATATCCCATTTTGTTAATGAATCCTTTTGATCGAAGCTGATTATATTTTCTTATTTTTTGTTAGGAATGTTTATATAAAATTTTTATAGAAAACTATGATCAGCTTTCACTTCACATTTACTCGTATTTTATATTTAATCTTTAATACAGATATAACTAGCGATGTATGTTCAGTTTTAACGATGTTTTTAATTTAAATTATTTAAGTTACAAGATACAATAAAAAATATTCGTCGCTAGCTATGTCTTGTTGCTTTATAAATATAGTGACTCGCGTATTTTGCTCACACGAGATTAATTATACTTATTATACTTAAAGCTTTCAAAGAATGACGCCACAAGATATTATTGGTTCGATTCTTAAAATTTTCACGTATCGCCATCTTTCTTAGAATTGAAAGGTATGTAAGTAAATATGCGAGTCACTGTACATAATCAAACACAAATCTTAACTTGTTAACTAGAGGTATATGCCATATTGTAATTCATGATTTCGCATATATTGCTTTTGCAATATGCATGAGAGAAAACAGCCTATATTCGTTTTTCTATCGTTCAAATCCATGATACACTATTTACACATAAGTACACTGTTCGAATTCTCTTCGATTACTTATATCGTTTGAAATTTTAAAGATAGGTCTATCTAAAATAATTCGAGAAAAAAAAACGAATCGGAGGTAAGTTTTCTCAATAAAAAAAAAGAAACACACAAATGAAAGATCACAAGTAAACAGAAAAAAATACACTAAAAATTGAGGTAAATAGTAGTTTAGTGCATGTGTGTGCGTGTTGTTGTCGACAGTTGGCAGTAGTGGGGGGCGAATCTCGTCAAAAGTTTTTGACAGCGAAGAGGAGGGGGGTGGCATGCGACGTGCCTGTTCGCTGAGTGATCTTTCCATCAGCCCGCCAAATAGGTTACTGCATGGTCCAATACAAGGTACCCTTTCATTGTGTCCCATGTCTGTGAGGGTCTTTCCAATACAATATAGCTAAAAACGTTCAAAGTAGAGGTATACGGGCTTTACGATTTATTATCGCCGTCACATTTTGGCATTAAATTCAAACTTGCCTTCTACTAATTGTCACAGTCACGATGAATCGCATTCGGTTTTTTGCAATGAATTTTGGAACGACCCCCGTATAATTATCTTTTATCGGAATCGATCGATATTTCAATTTTTAACGATATTTTCAAGATTCGGAAAAAGATTTAAAATTCATTCAAGTTCCATTATTGTTAATCGTTGATATTACTGTAGTGCAATCTCGCTATGACTCACCTGGACGGGACTGGAGGAAAGGGTCATGTAACTGGAACTTCTTTCATGCAGTGTTCGATTGCCGAAACTCTATCGTAAAAATTAACAAAATTGAAAGTTTCGAAATATTGGAATTGAAATTTCCAAATATTTTCATATGCTCTAATTGGGTGGTATTCGTGTTATTTTGGGAGGAAGCGTTATCGTCGCGCGCGTGCAAGTTTCATATAAACAGAAATTCTGTTCCAAGGGCCATATAGCGAGATTATACATGATTTAAAATGTCGAACAGTATTATTGTCCTTTTCTATTCTTGCATAAATAAGTATAGTTACGTTGCTACATATGTATTCGCTCGAAAAGTATTTAAAATTTCGAGTGGACTGAATTTTTTTTAACGATTGTTGATAGTTTCAGGAAAAGTAGGTAATAAGAACGTGAACATTTCGACGAGAAGTGGACTAGGAAATGCGAATAGCGGGAATCCGTCTCGGCACGCTTCGACGAAGAATCATTCTTCTCACATGACAAGAAGCAGTAGCGTTGGTGTTTTAAATCAGGTTCGTTCTGTACAAATCGTTGTTTTGTACAAAATCGTGTGTTTCTTTTCTCCTTAACGGCAACGTATTTTACAGAGTGATTCAGAATCGGACGTTGGAGCAGGAAACAGTAGAGGATGGAATAATCAGACAGGAAATAATCGAATGAGCGGATTAATGCGACCAACGATCAGTTCACAAAATAAAATAAATCATCAAATAAAATCGAACTCCTCTTCCAATAGTAATTTGCCGTCAGTTCTTAGAAGGAGAGGCATGCAGGGAGCATATTCGAGTGGTAAATTTTTCTTGAAAAATTGCAATGATTCGTTTTAGGGGAAATTTGCATTTACTTCGATTAATCTCCTCACAATTTTCTAGTAAATCTAAGTCAAGTGGGTAATCAAGAAGATTCTAGTTCAGAGGACACGTCTTCCAATGGAAACGGTGGAAAACCAGCGCTTCCTCCGAGACCTCGAAGCATCAGTATTGATCATTCTGCTACAAAGTGTGTTGCATTTCGCTTATTCTTTACTTAACACGTTCCTTTTCTGTCTTAACACTTCGCTGCACGATCCTTCGAATTTTTGCTAAACAAAAAAAGGCAACCGTATTATAATATTTTACAACATATACGCCCGTTTCGCTTTCATCACGTTTTGCTTCGGAATTAAAATGAACAATATATTCCTCTAAAACGTGTAACCTGTTAATAAGGTTATAATAATATACACCGATATACGTTTACATTGTTGTAGCTTAAGTCTGCCTGGCACAACGGTGAGGAGATCAGGGTCGACGACAATTATAACAAACGGTCGAGGTGGAAATAGCACGATAGGACAAAACACGAGCAGAATGTCAACAACAAATAGGAATCAGTTAGATCCTAGCCCACAAGAGCTTCCGGTCAAAGATACCGATCGTGCCATCGATGTAGCAAGTGCTGAATGTAAACGTCCTATTTGTTTCTTCCTTTCTTTTCTTTTCATGTTCTTTATCACGATTCATAATCATCTTACCGTCTTCAAAGTGTAAGCATGCAAGATTGCAAAAAAGATATACTTACTATTACAACTTGTTGCTCGAAAAGAAATTTGAATTTATTGCTCGGTATTTCTACTTTTCTTTTTTTAATAACACAACAAACGACGTTGTAAGACATTAAAATCTAATGAAGATTTTACTCTTGCAGTAGGCACGGATAAATCATTAGGTAAACTAAAGACACCTATTGAGAATGCTGTCCTGTGAAAATAATAAAACTTTCAGTGTATTAAAAAATTTGTAAGTGATCATGCTATGGCAAAGCGAACAAACATTCAGACACAGAATCGTCACGGAGTTTAGAACAGACTAGTACCCAGTCTGTAGATCCGCTGTACATAACATGCTATACACGTTTATGTTCAGAATTATCATCGAACATTGAACGTTAAAAATATAATTATTTGTTTTCAATGTTTCGTCTGCTTTGAACGTTACATTAATCCGAAGAGATTTTTCATTCCAGAACTCATCTGATCGTCATTGAAATTCGATAGATTTACAAATTTTCGCTTAAATTTGTAAATAATGTATATAAATGTTACCTAACAAAGTCAGAAAGTTTCGTGTTACGCCAGTCATGAAATTACTCTTATTTAGATCATCTTCATAGACCTCGAAGAATTAGTTCTCTCATCGTTAGAATACTACCTAAATCTCTAGGTTTCACGATAGCATGGTCTCATTACGGATTTTAGAATCGATGTAACCTGCACGCTGCACGATTTCACTCATCCTTTCCTGCATAATGAAGCGAATGTTACATATTTGACAATTTTTATCTCGAGTATATTTTCGTTCAAATATTCAACCCATGCAACATCCGCTTCTATCTGTAACGTGTTGTTAAATCTCGGTTCAAGAACATTAGTTTTGTGTCAAGAGCAGTGATGGGCAAATACGCCCGCGAAAACGGTGTGCAAGGACGTACACTCACAAGCACCAGTGAATATATACAGTAGACTCATAATTTAGAAATTTAAGAATTCGAACATTTAACTAGAGTTTAACGTAATAGTCAATAATTTACATGCACTGTGTACGCCCTTATTCGTCAACCCTTCGTCAAACACTTGATCCGTTTGTCATTGATTAAGAACACGTTAACCATCCAAACGGATTATCATAATTTCACCAATAATTCTAAGAAACATTTCCGTTTTCCAGTGTCGACGCAATTGTGCAACACGATCGCGGACGAACTAACGCGAACAGCGGACAACGTCGTGCAGTTGTACAAGCGTTTAACAATAGATAACGAAGACGATCCGTCTAGAGGAACCATCGACAGGGATACGATGCTAAGAGGCCTTGAATCATCGGTAAACGAAACGATGCGCACCTTGCGACTGGTCGTTTCCGGTGGCGATAATCACAATGACGGTTCGACAAGCGGAGACAATGTAACGATGAACGAGGCTGCCGCCAAGTTTCAGGAGCTACTTGCTGGCCAGGATCAAGGAAAAGTGGTTAATATGATGCAGCAGTACTCCGAGATGCTTCTGAACTTGATGCAGCAAAGAATGGGAGGAACGCAATCGAGCCATACGTAAAAATCCGTCCACCTTGTATGGGTTCTCTGAAGAGAGAACTACCAGGACATCCAGCCGCGGTGCACAGTTACTTATCGTATGTACCAACGTGTACAGCCTCTCTCGGGCTTTGTATACCCTCCCTAAAAAAGAACGCTTCGAGACACGCGTATTTCTTCATTATGGTCTCTCGATGTTTCCGAATTTAGATACGTAACTTCAAGATTATGCAGAACCGAGCGTTAAAACGTAAACAGCGTGTAATATGCAACTCGAATACAATTTTTTTTAACGCGTTGCTGTTTTAAAATTGAAGTAAGGAATTGATCGTTTGGAAGCGAGTATCGAACTTCCTTTTCTCGATCGTGAAACATTTTGAAAAATTACTGAAGAGATTAGAAATGAATGAAGTTATTCGATGGATGATCGTGTGACGTTACATCGTGTATTGGACGGTGTTTGTAGCCAAAGTTAGTAGAATATTTACCGGCAATTTCGTGCAAACAGGTCCACGAGATCCGCGGAAGTTCAAACGGGCTAATTAAAGACACGAGCGACACCTTGAACGCTCCGTTTCGAAACTTTTAATGTCTCGTTGAGACGAAAGCAGAAAATGAAGAAAGATTAACTGCGTGAAACTCACTCGTATCTTGAGGCCATACGCCGTAAAATGCCAATTAACTAAAGACTCTTAGACTAGTTTCCAGGCAAATATATATTATATATATATTTATCGACTATTTGCGGGATATTATATCATAATATTAGTCTTCTTGTTGTGTAACCAAAGGTTGTCTCTGCCTACGGTCTAAAAACGAGCCTCCCTTCCTTCCCTAACGTTTAAAAGCTTCGACGATTTAAAAAAAGTATGCAGTAAATGATGTGTAAACTTGCTAATATGAAAAGTTAACTTTCAATTAGTTTAGTTGAAATAACAAGAAGAAAATGGGTTTCGTAGAAACTTTGTTCGAATCGCGTTTGTCGAAAAACACGAGCATACGATTTTCTATTTTTCAATTCCGGTAATACCGAATGAAACGAAATAAATATACAGTGCAGTTTCGTTATATGGTTGTGGACAGATTTTAAGGGCGAAAAAAAATTGTAAACAAGGAACATGTCTGCGGTTCTTATAACTTTCTAATTTGAAAATAAAAATTTCTAGATTTGTAAATGTTAACATTTTTAAATATCAAAATACTTGAATTTCAAAATTTGTGATTTCAGTTCGTTTCTGTACACTGCGATAATATAGCAGCATTGTTAAAAGTCCGTATAAAGAGAAACTCGTTAAACAACCATATAAAGCAACTGCATCGTAGAAAATTTAATTTTAATCGAATCTACGACCGATCTTTGACTTAAAAACTGTACTGCGTTTAACTAACTATCCTACTGCATATTTTCTCATAGAAATTACAAATATTTTTACACGTGAATACTGTCGAGCGAGACGAATGGCAAAAAGTTCCAAAGCACCGTGACAAAGCTTTCGACGAAAAAAGAAAAAAACGGGCTTTACTTAGGTTTCAAAGGAAGGAATTGTATCGAGGAATCAAAGTATTACGAGAACACGTATTAGTAACGACTTTAACGTTTATTATAAACACGTGCGATTCCGTTTGTCCGTTTTTTATATATATATAATATATCGTATAGTTACTTTCTCCATTGTCCTCTGTTGTGTAAAGTTCTCAGATTCTCTGTATGTAATTGTATAAAACGTGCCATTTAGGTTTAACCAGCATCGTTCACGTATACTGCTTGTCTAGGCGTATGAACTAATTTTTGTTGATACAACGTGTAACATACCTTTAGTATCCTTTACGTGAATCTAAACTGTTTCTTATCGGTTATGTTATTTATAAGACGTTAGGTTAAAAAAGAATCTTATGACTAACTGTAATTCAGTATTGCTTTACAGGATTCGTTTCTCAACTTCTTCTCTTTTTAACTAATAACGCGGTATTCCGTTGCTTTTCTTGATCACATTTTGTTTTTTGGCGCGATAGATAATTTTTACGGAGGTGACTTTTATTCCTGAATGATACGGATCAACACTTTTGCCGCTTACAGAATTCGCGAGTAGACAGCATCGAAACATTAAATCAAACTTAGGGATTTTTCACGAAATTTCTCGTTTCGTTTCGAAATGAGACACGAAGTGATAGTGATCCACACACTTTTGGTCTCTTAATTTCTTCTTTCCAACTAGGACACTAAATAGCATCGAAGCAATTTTAGCTATACAGATTCATTTATAAAATCAAAAAGGCATCGATCATTGCTTCTAGCATTACACAGATGCAACGGCCACTCGTCACACAACCTAATCAAAGCCCACTTTGACGGTGAAGGTGTTGATCACGTTTAATATATCATGATCGTGTATTTTAGAAATTTGAACGTTTTGTATTCGATGTCATCATTTTTCTAACGATACATCGTCGTTGTTAACCGCGAAGGCAGACGTGAAAAGGTGAAAAGAATATCGAATCTCATCTCATATTCATCTCCTCGTGTTTACCTAGTTTCACGTGGTAATGAACCATTCCAAATTTTCCACACACAAATACACACACACACATACATACACATACACACACTCTCTCTCTTTATATATATATATATATCTCCCTCTCTCTCTCATGTGTAATAACCATCAAAGACATTGAAATACTTTTAACTCGATCGCAAAAATAATGTTGATTTAGTGGCTTTGTATATTGTTGTACTTGTTATCTTTAAGGCGTATTGTTATGTAGTATGTTGTTCGTTTCTGAATCGTGTACATATTTATTTGAAGAATTTTTGCAGAAGACAAAACAGTTTTTGGTAATCGTGAAATGCCAAATGTAATGATTTCGTCGCAAGAAAGAATGTAACTTTTTAGCACTTTGTTTTGTATATTACGTTAATGATTAATAATATAATAATTCTTACAAACTGATCGAATCGCGTTTAAAATTTACAATTAAAAACCTAGACGTAACAAACTTTAAGAAGTTTTATTTTCAGATATCAACGCATAAAAGAATCACAGAGGAGCAATTATAGATCTTCCTGGTGTTTTGACAACTAAAAATCTCAAACTCTTTTGCGCGCGCTAATTTTCATAAAAATATAGCTGTCTTTATATATATAATAGGAACACTGGCTAAATATACGTATACATATATAACATCAAATATAGTTCTCAAAATACAACAATATTACTATTTCAAAACGCGGGGGTATGATTCGTGGAAGACTTATTTGTAACGATTTTACGTGTCATGTGTAAATACTGTTCTGTTATGATTGAATTTTTCGCGAATGTATGTTACGGAAATAACGATGAGAAACTGCAAAAATGAAATATAATGAGTAGCTTATTGGTTAATTTTTCTCATAGGAATACCATACTGGTCAAATTGTTGGCACTATTATCGTAAAGTCTTCACGTCTTCATCTAGTATGAGTTATCGTTTACTGTCCTTTTCAATTATTTCAATCGTTTATCTACCATTTGTTTGCCGCAACTCCTCTAGCTGTAATTAGATAAAATAATAATTTAATATTTGAAACAGAAAAGTTAGTAAATTGACTTCAAAATAATATAGTTATAGATAACATTAGAAACCTCTTTCTCGTCGTCAACTTCGTCTTCATCTTCGTCATCAGAACCATGAACCGAAGCAGCCGGAGTAGTGTGTCTGGAAGAAGAGGGTGATGGCGGTTCGCTAATAGGTCTGGGATAGCTAAAACGACCTACTCCACCTTCGGCGTATTCAGAAGCTAGTTCAGGATAAACGGCTATCAAAGCTTTCATTCTGGCTTGACGATAATACTGCAAACAGCAATGAAATTAAAATGAACTCAATTAAAAAATATTAAAATTCAAACAGAATATGAACTAACGATGCCAAGATTTCTCCAGTCAAGAAGATCGCTAAGACGTTCAGTACGATTTCTTTGAATAATACGTTGCCGACGACTGAGTCGTGCAAAGTCAAACATGTAATGGGCAAGTTGTTGAACGGTACTCTCCAAGCCAATGAATCTTCTATCCACGATATAAATACCATAACTCATGGGATCGGCTATATGTTCCTGCATAAAGCATCCGAAACCAGATAGATTCGTAGTTATACTAGGAATACCCATAACAGTACATTCCGCTGGAGTGTATCCCCAAGGTTCGTAATATGAGGGGAAAACTCCTAAGTGACACCCTCTGACGAATTCTTCATAGTCGAGACCAAATAATGGATTTGTCGATGATAAAAATTCTGGATGAAACACTATCTAAAATATGAAATAGCAATTAGTAGTAATTAGTAGCCATTGTTACAATTCAACAAGTATACTTTTAGCACCGAGAACTGAAAATATGTTCATGTTCAAATGGAGTACTATTCTATAGATAACATGATATAATGATTCCTGTTACCTTGACCCGATCATGAACTGTATTGAAAAGATTGCATCTTCTGATAGCATTTAAGACCGGGTCGTTCCAATCGTCAATCACGTTATGCGTGGTAATTGGGGGTAATCCGTTTCTTTGTAAAGCGTATAAACACCTACAACACGGAAGTCACAATTCAAATACTTTTACTATAGCTACAATTTATATTTAAGTTGGTTAAATTAAAATACTACCGTTTAATCTTAATAGTGTCTTCTTTCTGTAAAAGATCTTGAGCATCGGGCATGCGACCAGAAAGACATAATTCGTACATACGTTTTCCTATTTTCTGTTGTATGTCATTGATTGTGTCTCTCAATGATTTGGTGACCTTCAATGAGCAAAGTTTACTGTTATCACTTTGAGAAATTAAAAAATTCTCAAATAAAATAAAAAAAAAAACATTTGTTAACTTACAGCATGACCTCGTAACGATTCTACGTTAAAATTATTAGTACGCGCTGGAAAAATAAGGAAAGCGACTACAGTTATGTCGGGTCTAGATGATTTTAAATAGTGATTTAGTCTGGCTAAAGCCTCGATAAATATATCGGCGCCCTTGTTTCCAAATTCATATCGTCCAGCAATAAAAAAGTATAAAGTTTTATCCAAGTCGAAATCATAATGTCTAAAACGATAATGCAAAAATTTAATAAGAAGAAATACGACATGAATACCTTATTAACGATACGCACCCATAAAAATGTCCCCTAACAAATTCGTGTATTTTTTCTTTACTGACAGCATGCAAATTTTGAAATTCGTGTATCGCCGCAAATTTCTTTACATTTAGACCATTTGGTGTAATTATGTCTGGCTTTCGTTTCAACAAATGTTCGGCTTCGAAACCTGTTATATCTGAAACGGTCGTAAATATATCTGCTAGGTGCGTGGCTGCTCGTTCCATGCAATACCTGTGGTAAATCTGGCGTTTGCCTGCCTCTTCATCAACATTAAACTGTAAAAGAATAACCATAAAAAGAATACCATTCTAATATTTTCCAATATTCTTATTATTAGTATTCGTACTTGATCTAAATTATTGTAAAAGTCAATCTTTCCTGCACAAAGATATCTTCCAAGAAGAGTAGCGTGCGTAGTAAAAACTGTAGCTACGTCCACGTGCCTAGTTTTCAATGCAATTAAGCCTACACCTGCTTGCCATTCATGACAGTGTACCACTACACGAGGTGGAACATCTGAATATCCCTCTGCAGCTTTTCTAAAATTTTAAAAATTATTTACAATATAGTAGAAAATAAAAACGAATAACAGATTTTCGTAAAAACAATTGTCCGAACTTTAATATCTTTAAACTCCAAGTTTCCAAATTTTTAGCGCCATCAAAGATCATATAGTTAAATTATACTCTAATATAAAATTTACCTAAATTCAGTGATAAATTGACAAACAAGATAGCCAAGGATAACTGCATCGTTTGCTTCTATATCAAGATGAGGTATTCCAAGATTACATGTGTTCCACAATTCCTGTTTGTATTCATCCAATTTCCAAGCTGCACTTCCAATATCGAAGAGAATTATTTGTGGATTTCCATCGACTAGCCATGTCCCTGTTACCACCTCAATAAAAGCTCTTATTTTGTGATAAAATAAATCTTCCTCATTCTTAACTTTGTATAGATTTTGTAGAAAACAGAATGAAGCACATAATAACTACATAATTGACTTATGAAGATAGCTGCCCTTGAATTAATTCTAGCCATGTGCCTGGACCACAGCCAAATAGTTATTCTTAGAACATAATAAATTATTTTAGCATTGTAAATATGTAATGTTGATTGAAACAAAAAATTGCTTTTTACAGTCTATATATAATTTATTATGTACTTTCTTCTGCTACTTTTTTCAATCCCTTATTTACACCTACTTTAAATCCTTGGTCACGTAAAACTTGAACAGCTATATGCAATGGATTATTATTTGGAAAATCTGCTTCCTCCACTTCAGTTCTAGCTGAAGTTTCCTTATATGGACCAATAAGACAATATTGATCTCCCATTTCCTCCGTTGACACAAAAGCTTTTGAACGTATTACCGTGTATATACCACCAACTAACAATAAAGTATTTCAAAATAATTGTAAAGAATTTAAAAGTTTTTATCATACTTTAATAAATGTTGTATACCTTTGTTCGCAGCTTCCCATGCAACTTCAAAATTCCATCGATTTTCATGTTGTGCAGTGTATCCACGATCCATAAATTCAAGTAAATCATTACTGCTGTCCATACGATAAAATCTTCTAGATACACGTTCCCTTGACATTTTGCTGACTCTTAAGGTCTATATTTACATAACATAAATTTAAATCGGTGAATGTTTACATTGATGCAATACTGTATTTCTAGAGATTTGGAATACACATAAGTATTATGTATGTAATCTATTATTAATTATCATAAAAATAAGTATTCTTAATTAATGTATTTTTAAATGTATATTTCAAATTCTTTTTACATATATTTTTATTAAAAAAAATAAAAAATTTATTTTATAATTATATAAAACAATTGTATATATCAAAGAAATATTCAGTTTATTTTAAAACTGTTTAAATCATAAAAATAATGAAACATATTATCATTTATATGAATTAAAACTACAATAAATAATTCGATATAACTTTCATTTCGCTTTAAAACGATGTTAAAGAATTCTTTTATTTCAAAATCAAGATCAAAACGGTAGAATTACAAATTGAACGCGTGCACAAGTTCATCGATGAAATATTAGTATCAAAAGAAGCACGTTGATTCTTCAATGAGTTTATTCGAGGTCAATGACAGCGCAAGGTAATTTTATAGGGGTATGCCGGCTCCATTCAAGCACACGATGAAAGAGATCTTCTTCCATGACACTTGCCGAAAATGAAACACGGCCGGAAATTATACTTACTTCCTCTTGAAATAATGTTTCACGACAAAGAAGAGAAAAGACGAAGAGCAGGTGTGGACGGACTCACGAATAACTCCACGGTCAACCTCGCGTGAAGGTCACCACAAACTACGAAAGGTCACAAGGGCTCAACGGAGCTTGAGTCGGCTTCCCGACCTACTTTGAACCCGACGAATCTTCGACGATTCACTGATAAAAGCATTGCTTGAATTTCTGTCGCAACAACAGATGGCACGAGATATCTCAAAGTTTGAGCGGCTATAAAATCGTTTTTGGCTTATGATCAGTCTTTTTCTTCCGATGACGCGGGTACGTGCCACCAGGATACAAGAACAAGTAAAATACACACATTCTGATGCAGTTACTAATGCAGTTTATTTTCGGCAATAAGGAATATGTATGTATGTAAATTGCTCTATAAATGCTATATTATGCGAAAAAAATTATACGAGAGAATTCAAAATGTTTAAACGTTTAAACATCATTTACTATTTTTATTTATTTGTTAAATGTAAATTAGATATACAATAAATTTGTTTGGTCATATAATTATAAATACTTGTTTAAATAATCAAATTAAATGTAATTGTGTATTTATCACGATTAAAAAAATACAAATTTTCAATTTTCTTATAATGTACAAGAAGACTCAGTCGTGGTTTATTTTAAATAAATATCCATTTCAAACATTAATACGATATTTGAAAAATTAGTGGTTGTAAGATGCATTTTTTCAATTTCAATTCCTATGCACTTTTCAAGGATTTGAAAGTCGCAGAAGGAACAAATGAGTTTGAATTTTTGTTAACATTTTCCCGCCATATTGTTGCAAAAATAACTGGTAAGCTATGTAGAATTTATTAATTTCAAATTTCTTCGTCAGAGGACGCTCATGTAATGTGTATCGTATGTGACTACAAGTTGTTCCTCTAATGTAAATTCATGAAGTTTGAACCGCGTTTCAGCAGACTATCGAAGCAATTCAAAAAGCTTGGTTTGGTGTGGTTCAGTTTCTATAAAGACACGTGGAAAAACAATAAATATGGCGGTAAATGTTTGATTATGAACTATTTCGGATTAAAATTATTAATTATTTATAGCATTTTATATTTACAATTGATGATAACATTAGCATCCGTAGAATGTTATTGCTACATTTATACCGGCTAACCTATATACGGAGATTGTATGTTGTTAAACGATTAAGTTCTACAAAATTTTGTTTTATTTAGCTATATGTTATAACAAAAATTAAATTGTGATATATTATTTATATTATTTTTTACTTCTCTTTCTGCAGTGCATGTAAGACATGTTGTCATGACAACTACAAGTTTGATCTATTCTCTATGAATTCCATAGTAAGCGTAACATGTTATTGTACTGTACTAACATTACCATATTTATGTTTCAGGCTGCTGCAGCTGCAAAGGTTCAAGAAGTCCGCGAAATTACCAGGATAGAAAGAATTGGAGCACATTCCCATATTAGAGGTTTAGGTTTAGACGACAGTTTGGAACCTCGACATGTAATATACTTATTATTATGTATGGAGAGGGGTATCCTATAATAAACAAATTCATTTTGTTCAAAGTCATTTTTGATTTAATAAGAAAATCTATTAACTATTGCATCTATTCATTGTAAGGATACCCTATTGCAAATACTTATTATCTATTTTATTAATTAAATAGAAGTTTTTAGGTATCGCAAGGAATGGTTGGTCAGCTTATGGCACGTAGAGCTGCTGGTGTTGTATTAGAAATGATTAAAGATGGTAAAATAGCAGGGCGTACTATACTACTAGCAGGGCAACCTGGTACTGGAAAGACTGCCATTGCAATGGGAATGGCACAAGCTTTAGGAATAGATACTCCGTTTACTTCAATGGCAGGTTCAGAAATATATTCTTTAGAGATGAGTAAAACCGAAGCCCTGACTCAAGCTATTAGAAAATCTATCGGTGTTCGAATTAAGGAAGAAACAGAAATTATAGAAGGTGAAGTAGTTGAAATTCAAGTGGATAGGCCAGCTACAGGTGTTGGTGCCAAAGTTGGTAAACTAACGCTGAAAACAACAGAAATGGAAACAATCTATGATTTAGGAAATAAAATGATCGATAGTCTAATGAAGGAAAAGGTATATTTTTTTCTATCCAGATCTGAAAACTAGAATATTTTCAGAAATTATTTCCTTACCTATTTATTTCTCTTAGGTACAAGCAGGCGACGTAATAACAATCGACAAAGCCACAGGAAAGATTAATAGACTTGGTCGATCATTCACCAGAGCTCGTGATTACGATGCAACTGGGTCACAAACTCGTTTTGTACAATGTCCAGAGGGTGAATTGCAAAAACGCAAAGAAGTTGTCCATACAGTAACGTTGCACGAAGTTGATGTTATAAATAGTAGGACACATGGATTTTTGGCGTTATTCTCTGGCGATACTGGAGAAATAAAGTCAGAAGTACGAGATCAAATAAACGCGAAAGTCGCCGAATGGCGAGAAGAGGGAAAGGCTGAAATAGTTCCAGGTGTCTTATTCATTGACGAGGTTCATATGCTCGACATCGAATGCTTTTCATTCCTCAACCGGGCGCTCGAAAATGAAATGGCACCTGTTGTAATTATGGCTACAAATAGAGGTATTTTCTTCCACTTTATTTAAAAATATTGTATTTTATTTCGACTAAAATTACTTGCTGGCTTTTACAGGTATTACAAGAATCAGGGGAACAAATTACAAAAGTCCTCATGGGATTCCTATAGACTTGTTAGATCGAATGATTATCGTTCCCACAAGTCCGTACCAAGAAAAAGAATTGAAGGAAATTTTAAAGATAAGGTGCGAAGAGGAGGATTGCGAGATGGCAGACGATGCTTTAACAGTTCTTACCAGAATAGCATTAGAAACGTCATTAAGATACGCTATTCAATTAATTACAACTGCTTCTCTTGTCAGTAGGCGAAGAAAAAGTACCGAAGTAATTTTTGTTGCAATGTTCACTTTGTAATAATTTTTAAACGGATAAAGTAACATTAAATACATTAAAAATTTGCTTTACAGTTTTTAATAATTGCAGAGACATTTAATATAACTTTTATATATTTAATTACAGGTAAATATCGATGACGTTAAGCGTGTTTATTCGCTGTTTCTTGATGAAAACAGATCGACACAGTTTCTCAAAGAATACCAAGATGATTTCCTATTCAATGAAATGCGTAAGTAATTCTTGTAAATAAAAATTGCATCAATCATATTTCTTTATAAAACCTTCCTGTTTCAGAAGACGAACCTATGGAAATATCATAACTATAAATAAATGAATTTACGACTTTGTTCATTAATTGTTTATAATTTTTTACTGCATCATTCCGTAACAATTCCGCGAGTTATTGGTCAAGATATATCGAATATTAAATGACTATAAACGTGATATCAGAAACGATGGTTATATTTCAAATTAAATACAAAAACTTAACAAATTTTGTCTTCATACTTGCTACAATTTGGTTTAAAAAGTTTTGATTTTACGTTCGCGTATTATAGCTGTTAATAAATTTACAAAAAAAGAAAACAGAATTAACTAACGTTAATCATAGAGGTAAATTAATTTTTGGTGTGAAGTTTCTGTTACTGCGTGAAACGCAATATTCAACGTATCTCTATCTCACATTTGTAAACAAAATTAACTTACAATCTACGTGAATTACAGTTACAATCGTACGCTGACGTACAACGTTAACAAATTTACTATCTCATCGACGTAGTCTTCGAAAACGCAGAAAAATTTATCACGATGAGCTCGAGGAGATGTCAGTTGGTAACTCGTACCCGTCGTCGTTTACCTCATGTTCTTTTTCTCTTGATTCTTCTTAACTGTAAAATATATTTTTACACGTGCCATAATTATTACCTGATCGAATGATTTTCATGTTACTTACTCGTTATAAGTTTTAGTCCACCCTCTGGCTTGAACGATGACTGGGCCTTTTTATCCTTCGATATGAATCCCAAACCGTATTCAACCTTATAAACCGGAAGAGGGATTACCGTGGATGAAACTGGTACCATCACTGTAAAAACGAGCATGTTTTATTTTAAAATTATATGTATATAAATTGTGGAATCTCAGTATATGGCACTAAGCGGTTGTAGAAGCGAACATGATCTACATAAACTGAACTTGGAAAATTTGGAATTTCTAAATCTGCAAATGTACAATTATTTATCTATTCCCTACAATGATGAAAGAGTGCCATTAATGCGTGTAAAAGTCGCTCCGCATATCATATAAAAGGAGGCATATAGTGAGACTCCACTATATTACAGAATGTAGTGACAGCAAGTAGTCTTGAATCCTTGTTTACGTTCTTGAATAATCGTTAAAATTCTTTGGGACATAGACAAATTCTGACTGGGGTACGTAACGTTAGAAATGCAACAAAGAACGTCGAAGAATCGAAAAGGTCAGAGCGCGTACACGGTGAAGGTATTAGAAGGTTTTGGATCGCGCAACTATTCCGTCAGTTGGAATGCCGTACTGAACCGTATCGAGTGATATTTACGCGAATTAGTTATCATACCAGCAAACAAGTCACAGGATCGATACAATGAAAAGTTACATACAATAATCGTTGTATTTTGTATCTTCATTTGTCGAATTCCTCGAGTACTAATACATACGATGTAAATTGGTTTTCTTTGGTCAGGAATAAGTTATGGCGATTTTGAAAACTTGGTGTTGTCATGCACGAGTAATCGTTTTAAACTTATGCAAACCGTACAATTTCACTCGGTAATTTTGAGAACAATGAACTAATAGTATTCATGTGCTATAACGAAAAATATTTTGTTTGATAGGTTTTCTACCAGTATTGCGCAACGAAAGGCGGTAACTTTTTAGTTCCTTTTTATATTGAACAGGAGAGAACGTTTTATGTATACCAGTTTTAGCCTCGTCGATTTAATTAAGCATACCACCCAACCTTGCGTTATGCAACATTATATAAGGTGTCCCAAAATACTTTACACGTATCTTAAAAAAATAAATTCAAACGACGAATTATATTACTAAGTCTTGTAGGACACTTTGTTTCCGGAAAAAAATGATTTCAAAGTACCATATTTAAATTTTTAACAACTGTTAAAAATCTTTATTTTATATAAAATAGACAAACGAAAATTTTATTCTGTACTTTCGATGTATTATATTTCTTTTTCCACGAGGAATCGTTATTATTTAGATTGTAGTATCTTTTTTGCAGTATATATAATGTTCGAACGTTTCAGAGAATATTTCTGCATCAAAGTTAATTGCAGTATTTGTTAAACAAACAGAGTACTCTACGGAAAAGCCTATTAATACCCTTTTAAACTCTTCGTTGTCGCGGCTATTGACCGAAAACCAATCGATAGGTCTCTGATCGTTAATAATGCATTCGTTAGTCAATTCGTTAAAGTTTAAGAGTATCGTCATAAACAGAAGGCTAATATTATGAAATAATATGAAGCGTGTTCTAATATTTTAAATATCCTTAGAATGTTAAATAGTGGCAAACAGATCTAATTTGAGGCGTTTTAAATCGAGTGCAATTTTACTAAGCAAACAGAGGCAAAATTACATTGGCAAATACAGTTTGTCGCTTATATTGCGACGTTCTGCACTGTTATTCAATGTTTCAGGAATAGTTTCAATGATTCTTCCAATCAAAAGTGTTCCATAAGTTAAAGAAACAAATAAAAACCACTATCGTAGACTCTGTCAGGTTCTCCTTAGGTTTTCTCCGAATTTCTGCGGAGTTGTTAGGTCTCCTACACCAGTGGTAATACCGCGAGTCTGACGTAAAAGTATTTAGTTAAAAAATGATAGTTGGTAGTTTCAGTCTAAGCACCGTGTTCATTTCGTAAGATCACCGGCACTCGAGTGTTGAACTTGCGAGTTGATCAACCTTTAAGCACGCTCCAAGTTATTGCCGGAGTTTCGTTAAGCAATCACGGTGTTTTGCAAAGTAGAAAGGGCAACAATTGACACGAATATCTTTCAGATGTCCCAGCGTTCCACTATCACGGTGCAGCTCAGGTAAATCCTTTCGAATCGCTGATTCGCGTGACGATTGCGCTTCGTGCAACATTACTGCAATCGCTTCGATCCCTCTCGTTCCTCCGCATCTCGCCTTCCTTTTCCTCTCTAATCGTGTTACGATAGTCAAGGACGATTCGTTCAAGATTCTCTGCTATCTCCTCCGAGTAGTTTTCCCGTGGACGTTAGCAGGATTTACAGATTTGCTTTTCCGGTACCTCGCGATCGGATAAGAGATCGTGAACGAACGATACATGGCTATACATATAGTCGGGAACGAAGTACGTCCGCGAACCGAGGGAATGGGTTTATTAATCTTCGCCCGCTGAAGGAAGCAAAGTGGAGAGTTAAAGCGCCTCCAGAACCGAACCAACATCACTTCGAGGCACGTGCTACCGCACACCTTCTTTCGTTATTTTTCTTTTCTGGAACATTGCTGCATATACTATAATGGTAATAGTTTCTGGGGTTGACCATTAAAATGTATCGAGAGATTTACTGTCCATCTTATTTTCTAAAATTACAAAATCTTGTTGTTTCGAAATCTTAAAGTCGTAGCTCTTTTTTAGAACGCGTAAAGTGCGTAATTGCGCAAGACGCGTTAGATGCTCAAGGTGCATCGTCGGTTACATACATAGAATAGATAGCAAAGGATGTACAATGTGGGTAGTCCGTTGCATTCAGTAGATAGCATAAGATGCACGAAGTATGTCATCGATTACATTGGATAAATAGCGTAAGACGCATGAAGTGTGTCATCGATTGCATTAGACAGATAGCCTAAGACGCATAAGGTGTGTCGTTAATTCTATAGAGTAGTTAGCATACGATACATAAGTTGCGTCATCAATTGTATCACGATGTTTCTACAAATAGCATAAAACGCGTAAGATGTGTCGCGAGTTGTTCGATACAAGGTGTAACGCACGCAAGATCTTTCGATTTGGAATGTTAAAAAATGGTTAACTAATTTATATGCATTAAAGTTGCCCGGTAAAATCGATTAATATTATAATTTCTTTGAAGGCGCGGTAGAACGACGAATTTCCATTGATAGCAGCACCGATTAAACGTAAATTACCGAAGTGTTTCAATTTTCTATCGGAATTTTAATCGCGCGTTGATTCTCGGTGCGCGCGGTTCCATATTAATAGAGAAGGAACATCTCAGGGCTATTAAGAAGTCGATAACTCAATGTTACTAATAATCCAATAACTCGAAGTTACTAATCGTCCGATAACTCAATTTTCCTAACGGCCTAATAACTCAATGGCATTAGCTTTATTAACTTGCCCATCCAAATACTAGCCGTGCCCGGTCGAAACATATTTCTGATCTTTCGATGTTGTACTCGCACATACGGACGTAGTCGTAAAACATTCATGGTACGACAAAAAGAACTTTAATAATAATAAATGAGCGTAAAGGTTAAACACTTTTCAACTTAACACGTTTCGTATCACTAGCTCTTTCTCATTTTGTTTTCGCGATCAAGCGAAAGAACACCTTCGTCCGTTTAAATAAAGATACGACTTTGATAAACGTCGAGGAGTAGCGGTGACCCACGCGGTATAGAACGCGTTAATGGTCTCCTGGAGAAAAAGGAGCATCGAGGGAGGAGACACACGCGTTTGTGCGAGCCTAGATCATACGCGAGAGAATACACGATCTACTTTGATCGTATCCTCGTGGCCTCGCTATAATCGAAGCCCACGCTATTCGTAAACTGACGTCATCGTCCCGTTATTCTCACCTGTCAAACTCAAGGAAATTCGGATGTTTCGAGATCGCCCTTTATTTGGTCAACGACGAGTTACGAACATCATTCGGTAAACTGTTCTGCCCACTATTTGCTTTTTTCATTTTTAACGATCGAGTAATGGGTTTATGTACGTTTCATCCGTTCGACATCGTAGCGAAACTGTTGCTCCATTTTATCGCGACTTATGTCGTATAATAATAGTTATTTCTTCGGATAGAAGTTTAAAGAAAAAATCCTACGTAATATTCCGTGTAACAATTGCAAATTGACCGCTAGGACTTGTATGCAAAAGGATGTCAATATGTATAGAAACATTGCGTTAAGCTTTGGATGTATTTATCAGCTTTCTATTCATCTTCGAACGAACGGCCGGTGGTACGAGACGAGTAACAGGACAAACATGGTACAAGAAATCAACGAGTTATCGGTGTTGTACAAATTAGTCATCGGCTGTTAGATCACACCTGTTCATCGAAGTTCACGCAAGTGTACGTAACCGATTTCAGAATGTTGGAAGAATCCTTAACAATTTATTCACCGATTATCGCATTTTACATCAGAATCTATATTATTAAATTAACACTTAATACCTTTTAAATCATCATCATTCCTAGTGTGAATAAATAAAATTCATGATTATAAGCATGAAAATAAATTTGTTCACGAATAAAAGAATAAATGAGAGTACCGTCTGATATCCATAGGATAAAGAGGAACTCGAGTGTATCAATTTGTCGAGTCAACAATTAAGGTGAAAGTTTTTGTAGATGTTTCTCTCCGACCAAGACCTCGATCTTCACCGAGATCAGAGAAAGAGAAACTGAAACTTTCAATTTTTTAAGAAATCGAAAGGCTCGTTATCACGAAACACCAATTAAGCAACTTCATTTTGCTATCCCTTATACAGATATCGCGAAAGAAAATCGATATAGCGAAAAGTCATTTAGAAGGAAATGTTCAATGCTTAAGCGATAAAAACGTGTATCTAAATAGAATGTCAGTGTCGAAGTTAACGAATCGATACTGAACTCGTTAAAACTATTTCAAGTGAATATTTAATCTAGTTCGCTGCTAAATCCGTCTCATTCACGTTCTAACATTTCAATTTATAATCAACGAATAGTAACACGTAACATTTTCCGTTTTTTCAACATTGAAAATTTCCAATCACACAATTTATTAATATCTGGTGTGGAAAGTAAAAGAAAGGAAGAAATTTCAATTTAAAACGACGGAAAAGAAATGTTTGAAACGTTAACTCACCCGGTTCGAAAACGTTGTCCTGATTTCTTTTGTAAATTGTGGGTTTCGCGTGTGTCATCGCGATCACCGCAAGAAAACAGACGAAAAGAATTCTCAAAACTGTTGACATGATATTCACACGGGATAGAATCGTTTTTCACGAAACAAGCACCACCGATCGAAGAGAATAAAGCTCGTCGCCGAGTACGTTCGCTCGTCGATGTTTGGACCGGCACTACGCGCAGCAAAGACTAAAGAGGCGAAAACACTTGCCACGAGTGGGGAAAGCTGCGAATAAACAACAGAGAATTGCCACTCTCTAGTTACTCCTAGTCGAACTCGAGCAATATCGACGCTTTTCCCGCTTTCCTCTGTCCCTTACATCCGCTTACGAGTATCGAAAAAGCCTCTTTTCGAAATTTTCAACCGAAGATGTCCTGCAAATAGAACGCGTTCATTCGTATATCGACGCGAACATCTTGAAACACTGAAATTTTCGAAAGATCGTTGACAAAATATACCGAGCCTTCGAGTTCGATTCCGTTGAATTTGGAAGAAACGGAACAACGAATGAATGGAAAGGAAGCGAGGCCTACGATAAAGCGGAAAAGTCAGGTAGCGAGGTAAGGAGAGGGCGTACTCGAGGAATCGCGAAAGGAGTGGTCCAAGGATTTATATTAATCATTTCTCGTGCTCGTCACTCGTTGGTCCTCCGCCTCGCACATTCTTGACTAACGACTACCAAGCACGAGCAACAGGAAGCTCGAGGCTCGTGTCATACGTGGAAAAATCTTGACGAGCCTGCCATTTCGCGCCTTTAACCCTTCCGTACGAATCAAGTATTCCACAGGAATACAGAAAATCTTTTTTATTTCGATACAATACGTATCGAACCGTTATTTGCTTTTGGAACTTTACCGTGGAGTCTAGGGAAAGCAAGTTATGTCGTAGGTACTAGAATGTAGGAAGTGCCTAAGCAGAAACGAGGGGGAAAGCTCATAAAAAACGGTTAGGAGACCGTAAGACGATCCTGAAGAAATCCTGATAACCCTCAGGACTCGCTAACGAATCAAGGGAGATCCTATATACATCATTCAAATTTGACATTATATCTTTATCAACTTTTTACTCTGATTTTGAATAACAATTTTTTGTACGTACTTGAAAATACGTACAACAACGTATACTTGAAATTGTATTATTTCGCGAGAAGTAAAGGAAAGTTATAGATGCAATTTAGGGATCGAATGCGGGGGTAAGAAGCGTGTTGCCACGCACTGGTCGGTTTCGCTTTCAAAGGAACTAACGCGTTACGACAGAATTTCTGCGATGATTTTCGAGAGACGCGAGATCGTGGGTGGGATTTGTAAAAGCAGAAATGACGCGTCAAACTCGTGCCACTCTGCGAGACAAGGGTTGAAAAGAAAGCGAGGAAAGTCGGGGAAAGGAAATAGGAAGCCCTGCCGTGGCCTCCGGGTTCCGCGGCGTGAATAGCGAATAGCAAAGCCGAATAGAAGCCACGGTCGTTCCTCCTCCAATCTCTCTGAATCCTTTCACTTTTTAACCCAGTTTCCATTGTTGGACAGCTAGGTCGTTCCTGTCACGCCTGCCGACTACCGATTCGAACAGTCTCGTAATTAACGCTGTATCGCCGACTTCCTTTTTCCTCCCCGTTCTCTCGAACCGCTTTCTTCCCTCTCGCGACTTTCCACGCGGCTCGCGCCTAGAACAATGCGTTTTCACGCGAATTTCACCAGATCGTAGACCGATCCGTCACGCGATCGGAATATTCTCCAACAATTTTTTCTTTCGCGTGAACGAGCGACCAAGAGGGTGCTAGATAGGACGTTAACCCTTTACCTACAACGCGCTCCCACTGGAAATTCTTTTCCGCGCGTGTATGTATGACTAGCGTTCGCGCATAGTCGAACCAAATATTTTTCTCGCTAAACAAATTTTACGAACGTATGTTACTCGTTCTCCAGTTAGTTCTTTAAAGCAACGGTAGAAGGATACGCGCGACCCCGCATCCGATCGGATTATCTCCCATCGGCGTTATTTTCTACGCAGAAAAGATAAGGCAAGATTGTCTCCGTCTCCTGTTGGCCACGATTAACATCGGTACTCCGACAAGAGTCGAAAATTGGAACGACAATGGCTCGAATAGGCTAGAAACGACGAGACTAAGGCATGCACGTTGACACATCTGGCTCCTGCCACGTATAATCTAGCCGTTTCCTCGTTTCGTGCCGGTCTGTTCTCGCGTATCGGTGTTGAGCGCGGAATATACACGAGGCAAAATTATTCCGTGCACCCTCTTCCCACGGGTGTCAGCAGCGGATCAGAAAGGTGTACGTGACAGGAATCTGCCATAAACGAGCGAGCAAATGGTCCGTGAAACAGTGACGTCGTGGGCAGAAGCTTTAGAGAGAATCTTGTCGAAAAAATAAAAGAAAAGTATACCGTTAGAAAAATTCTACCCGGAAGAAACCGAACCGTTCTTGCTCGATTTCCACGCGACGGATTCATCGAATTATTTTGAAAATCTTTATTCGGTTTCTCTATCGCGCACCACTTTCTACGCGTATTCTTATATCGTAGATTTCCAGATTCCTACAACGGACTAATCGTCGAATCGCGACGATAAGTAAAGACTAATTTTTGGGAAGGAAGACTGGTTTATTGGAGCAACGGGAACACGGGGGTGAATCAACGAGAGGTTTATAAGTGGTGCAGCTTTGGAACGTAACGGTTAGGAGGGCGTAGGAGATATCTGGATATTCGGGCCGTCCATTCCTCACGGATTTTACACGACTGTGCACTCAGTGAAGCACAATGGACACCCCGGTGACTAAGCCGCATTTCCGGGATACGGGCAACTTTTCTATTCTCCCTCTCTATGTTCGTTCGTTGCTTTCGAGCTTTCGTTCCACCGACAACCCCGTGATTAATGAACGATCGCTGGCTGAAAATCCTCGAACCTACCAATCTACGAGCTCCGCGCAGGAAAGAGCAGTCGAAGCGGTTGAAAATCGTTCCTTCGTTACGTTTTTCGAATTCGTGCAATCCTAATTGGAAAGCTCCGGTTCAAGAATATTCGCGTCGTAATCTCGTTCCCGATATTTGGAGAATGTTTCGAAAATAGATTCGGTGCGGTATCGTGCGACAACCCGCGAATCGGATTCGATCGTTACTTCGCAAAACAGCCACGTTAAAATCTGTCGATCGCTGAAACGACAGTCGACGCGTCCCACGTTCTTTCACCGATTCGTTCGTTCTCGTTACTTCTAGTCGAAAGGATGGGAATTCGTCTCGCTGGTATCGACGAATTTCTTCTAATTAGCATTCGTCGTGGATGCTGGAGCGTGTCCGTTCTATCTCGATTCCCGTGAAAAGGCCGCCTCGTCTATCGGAATCGTGTACCGCGTCAATTCCGTTTGATGGCTGTCAACCGATTTTCGCCAATACCGAGCGACTCGATGTCGAGACGCTTTCTTTCGTTCGACGGCTTTAAATAGTTGGAGATACTATATAATAGTTTAATTAACGGTGTACTTTGAACGATTTAGCTACGACGTGGGCGTCGATGGATTCCTTCGACGATGGAGCCCTAATTTGCCAAATGGTTGTGGTCCAACTTGGAACGCTCGAAGCGCTGACGCAGACGCTGACTCCTTTCCGTTCCCAATTAATGAAACAAAGCCGACTTGGTTTCCGGTTGTGATTTACGCGCATCTCTATCGCTCGGGACGTAAGTTGGCACGGAAAACCTTACTTTAACGGCTGATATTTCAGATTTTGCGCTAAGATTAATGTAATAAGATATTAAATGGTCAATGAACAAATTGTATGGACTCGAATAATCGGAAGATAAGAGATTATATTCGTAATAACAGCGTCGATACCATAGCAATCTCGTAAAATTATAGGTAACATCGTCTCGTAAAGATCAACTATTTCGTATAATACACTTTTGATAATATTATCGGTTATTACACCGTTATAAAACGAAACGGAACTTATCCCACGAGTTTGATCGTTGTTTTCATTCGATTTGTCTCCGGTTCTCGAACAAAGCTTACGAGATAACGTTGAATCTCCTATTTCGTTCGCTTGGAACGTTCCGTAATAGAAAACACGGTGGTATTGGAAGCCGAAATCAGGACAAGTGGGGAAAATGGTAGATAAATGAGGCTGTCGAGCGATCTCCAGATACCTCATATTTCTTCGATGTATCTTCCGATGGTCCTGCTCGTTTCGATTGACCGTTTCGCGATGAAAATACCGATCGGGATATAAGGTATCGAGGGCTCGCCACGCCGGAGGATCATCGTCGATAAAGGCCGAAGCAACCACTGGCTCGGAGTACTACCGGCAAATCAACCTATCGACCCCCGCGTATCTACGTTGTTTCCGCTTTCGTCTCGAACCGTTACGCTGCTTGATTCGGATTATGCTGGATTTACGGTGTACACTCGTCGCTCGAGCAACCGTGAGTAACAATATTGTCGGTCGTTATATAATTTCTACAGTCGAATACTTTCCCTTCTAAATAAAACGAGGCGTATCGAAAGAAAGAAAATCGAATATGGTTGTTCGCGAGTTAATACTAAGCGACACGCGCGCGTAGATTTTCGGTGACAGGCTGACAGCACGCGTGCGTGGCGAGTCGCGCGCGATTACGCGTATCCCTGACAAATAACCGAACCCGCTTGTTCCGGCGTTACGGCGTCCCTCGCGAGCGCTTCAACGACTCGTTACGGTTGGGGTTGGAGACATTTCGACAGAGACGAACGCGACAAAATGGACAAGAACGGCAGAGACAGAGGGAGAGAAGCAGGAGAAAGGTACACAAACGGCGACGGGGGAACATCGAAGAGAGACGAGGAGAGACGAGGAGAGAAAGAAAGGGTGGCGGTAAGAAGGGTGTACTACCCCTTGCAAGAGCCGAGTCTTACCGCGTTAATTGCAAGTACTTCCCTCGGGGTACCGCAACGGGTATACAGTTCCACCCACCTTGCAGGTTCCACCCTTATCCAGTAGGGTTTAAGGGTACGCAGGGATGATTCGCGCACCCCTTTTTCCCTTTTCATGCTCACCCGGCTCCTTTCATTCCTCGCCAGTGGTTAAAATATTAGGATTTCCCCGAGGTCTCGTGCGTTCGTGTTAGGGCTATCGCGGCAAACCTCCTCGTCCTCCTTCTTCTTCTTCTTCTTCCCTCTCGTTCTTTTTCCCTTCTTTTTCTGCGGTGACTCGTCAATTCGCTTGGAACGTTCCGTAATAGAAAACACGGTGGTATTGGAAGCCGAAATCAGGACAAGTGGGGAAAATGGTAGATAAATGAGGCTGTCGAGCGATCTCCAGATACCTCATATTTCTTCGATGTATCTTCCGATGGTCCTGCTCGTTTCGATTGACCGTTTCGCGATGAAAATACCGATCGGGATATAAGGTATCGAGGGCTCGCCACGCCGGAGGATCATCGTCGATAAAGGCCGAAGCAACCACTGGCTCGGAGTACTACCGGCAAATCAACCTATCGACCCCCGCGTATCTACGTTGTTTCCGCTTTCGTCTCGAACCGTTACGCTGCTTGATTCGGATTATGCTGGATTTACGGTGTACACTCGTCGCTCGAGCAACCGTGAGTAACAATATTGTCGGTCGTTATATAATTTCTACAGTCGAATACTTTCCCTTCTAAATAAAACGAGGCGTATCGAAAGAAAGAAAATCGAATATGGTTGTTCGCGAGTTAATACTAAGCGACACGCGCGCGTAGATTTTCGGTGACAGGCTGACAGCACGCGTGCGTGGCGAGTCGCGCGCGATTACGCGTATCCCTGACAAATAACCGAACCCGCTTGTTCCGGCGTTACGGCGTCCCTCGCGAGCGCTTCAACGACTCGTTACGGTTGGGGTTGGAGACATTTCGACAGAGACGAACGCGACAAAATGGACAAGAACGGCAGAGACAGAGGGAGAGAAGCAGGAGAAAGGTACACAAACGGCGACGGGGGAACATCGAAGAGAGACGAGGAGAGACGAGGAGAGAAAGAAAGGGTGGCGGTAAGAAGGGTGTACTACCCCTTGCAAGAGCCGAGTCTTACCGCGTTAATTG